ATATGGTTGTCAATGTTCAGGACATTTGGAGTAATGATATAAATAGACTAAAAAATTAATTGAGTCTCTTTTTAATTGTCTAGAGCAGATGCTTTGATTCAAAAGTAATTCAATGGAGCAGTGCAGTCGGTTTCTGTTTTTTGTAGCTAAGACACAGAAAAAACCATGTTAAAATCTTAATTAACATGAACACCATCCCAGACATAATTGTCTGTGCTATTGTCCTCCTATTTATTATTGTTATTAAATAATAGGCTATGAATACGCCGCGATCTAAAAGATCTATTGTGCACCTAAATGACCAACTAAAACAATTCTAGACTATTTATAAATAGTCTATTTATTGGAACCAAGATCCCGCTACCAAGGTAGTCAAGTCTACTTGTTGCCGCCGTTAAATAGTTACATAGAACATGCTTTGATGTTTTCTTCTCCTCATAACAGAATCGGCAGGAATCACTTTCTAGCACACCTATATTTTCCATGTATTAATTGAGTGTATTAATTACAAATGAGTGGTTTCTGCTAAGGTTCAGAATAGCGTCAACTCTGATGTGTTTAGTATCAATAAATCTTCTTAACTGTCGCATACCTGTTTGGGCTTTCCAGTGTTTAAATAGACTTCGTTTCTCCCGTTCACATATTAAGTTTTTTTGTAAAGCTGTTTATCACCCCGCAGAAGGGCTCTACGATAAACAGAGTTTCTCGATGCTAGAGTATTGGAAAGTTGAAAGCATTCCCAGACCAACTTTAATTAAAATGTAGAGTTTGTTAAAGATTTTAGAGCTGCATGACTATCCATGTTGTCCTAACGCATATTCTTACAATTTTTTTACCGTTGTCAAACCCCCTATATTCGTTTTTTTCTATTTCTGCTTTTTTTCTGTTTCCAGTATGATTATTTAAAATTCGAGCTAAATAAATAATATTGAATACTGTGTTTCTAGCAATATTATTGTCCTTCGCTCATCTAATCTCTCACTGTCCATCATTAGCTTAAAGGCATGTCTCCATTATACTTTCTTAATTATCAGACTGCCTAAAATTCAAAGCATTGTTCACTTCATCAAAATGACATAGTGTTTTGATAGTCTCCAATAAGGGTGTTTCTGCCCGAAATATCTATATTCAGATAATGCCCTAAACATTATTGTGTTTTTCGGTCCAGAATGGAAGTATACCTATTCCGAATGACTATAATCAGTAAATGTCTTAATATTAGTCCACTTAGTTCCTAAGTGAGTGTTCGTGTTTTATAAGATGACCTGTTCCTGGTACCTAACTATTAATTATTCTTGAAGCAAACAAAATAGTAACAATTTTTTTATTTGTTGAAAACTAACAAAAAAATATTTTTTAATGTTAATTTTTTCTTGCCGAGAGTGTAAAAAAGAGTTTTTACGACGAAAAGAAAGTATTTAAAAGTTAGACGGATTTGAATAGCAAAGAAAAGACAATGACAAAAATTTGTTTCATTCATTGCAATTTAGCTGACCATACAACGCTGTTTCGAGTATTGTCAAGTACTCATCATTAGTGGTCTTAGGAAATATTCGAATTTATTAATTAGTTTAATTAATTAGTGCTAGGTTTAGAACTCATGTCCATCAAATTAGAAGCTGTACTTGTCTTTTCTTTGCTATGTGAATCCTTCTAAAAACAATTTTTTTTGTAAATTTATTTTCTATTATCTATGTTAAAACAAAAAGGTAACGTAGTCCAAACCGCCATTGAAGATATTGAAAAATAATAAAAATCAAAATTTTCAGCTCATTACACATTATGGAGAAAAAAAAAAAATTATTACAAAATAAATAAAACAAAAACTTGTTTCGGAATTTGTACGTACAAATTCAAGATTCTTCCGTTAAATAATTTTAAAGATAATTTAATTACTTTGTGAATGCTGGAAGGTTTGAGAGAACTCAATATCTGTAGATTTTCATACTCAATAGCCAAAATAAAAATACTAAAATTGTTTAGTCATAAAACAAACAAAAAAATCATTGCACGAAGTGGAAGCATCGTAAACACGCCATGAGAAGCACCTGAAAACCAAACATTGATCCAACGATCGGCCAACAGGTACTCTCTACTATGTGGGCTCATAACTCGTCTGTGCGTTGTAGGCAAGTGATTTGTACTTATGTGTAAAAGCGTGAACCTTATAATTTGTTTTACGGAGGCCACCTCCAACATTGTAGCAAGCATTGTCATTTATCTCAACTTTTATAATGTTTTTACTCTCCGCTGTTTCAGTGATTATAGCTTCTTCTTTCTAATAAAAATAAACAACAAATTTCAGAATTTATAGTCTATGTAATTATGAATTAAACTGTGAAGATACGCCAAATAATACAGCGAAAATTAACTAATAAAGTAATTTATGACGTAACTTTTTTTTGGATACAATATGACGATTCAGACACCTTCAAAAAATTTATCTTATTTACAAGATAAAATTTTATGACTATAATATGTACATCTGCTAACTTCAATACTATTTTTAGCAATGAAAATTAAAACTATTTTAAAGAGAGAAAGTAATTATTATATTACTGGCTAAACTATTAAAAATAGACAAACAGTCTATTATTATTTATATTGCCCTCAATAGTCTATTAATAGACATGATTTCGTAAAAATAGGTTTAAATTGATTTCCAGAAGTAGAATGCGCATCTTCTATAGATGTGCATCATATATAGTACATGATCATCGTATAATATAAGATATCTTAACTGTCCTTTGTCTTGGCAAATAGTTAGGAAAGTAATTATTATATTGTAGGCTAAACTATTAAAAATAGACAAACAGTCTATTATTATTTTTATTGCCCTCAATAAACAGTCATTTCATCGATATGATTTACTAAAAATTGGTTTAAATTAATTTCAAGAATTAGAATGCAGATCTTCTTTAGATGTACATCATTTATAGTAAATGATCATCGTATAAGACATCTTAACTGTACTTTATATTGGCAAGTAGTTAGGAAAGTAATTATTATGTTGTAGGCTAAACTTTTAAAAATAGACAAGCAGTCTATTATTATTTATATTGCCCTCAATAGTCTATTAATAGACATGATTTCATAAAAATTAGTTTAAATTGATTTCCAGAAATAGAATGCACATTTTCTATAGATGTGCATCATATAGATGACAACTTAACTGTGTTAAGTTATTCCAAGTTATTCCAAAATATATTTTTTGAATATAATTGAAAACAGTAGTTTCAGACGTGTAAGATAGTTCACCAAGAGATTTTTTGCATTCCTATAAAAAAAACATGGCAATACTAAAAAATAAGCATTTTCCGAATTATCAGTGCAAGCAGTCTTAACGCTATAAGCCACTTGTCCAGAACGGATAAAGGGTATGCCAGTATACTGTATCAGATTTACCATCTTCTAGTTGTGTCGATTATACGTGTTTATACCCAAGTCTGGTTCAGATTCCTGATACTAAATGGATAAATGAACTCAAGGGCTACTCTATCCCGAATAACAGAGTCAGTGGAATCTTTTCTAAGAAATTCGATCTTAACTAAATAACCAAGTAGGAGTACTGACCATTCACTATACAGTAAAGTAGGTCTTGAGCCATATATGTTTATATGAATATCGCAGTTTTCTCGAGCAGCAGTAAAATATGCTGCATTTACTATGCAGTAAAGCTCAGGACCTCCTGAGCCATACATGTTTATATGAATATTGCAATCTTCTCGGGCAGTCAACCTGCAATTAAATACCTGTTAGGTGTTACAGCTGCTTCTCTTGTAGTTCGAAATAAATCAGACAACTGTAAAGCTTTCTGAAATTCACTTTTCTGTTATTGGTATTTCTTGTCGTTCGCCACCTAATAGGTGTCATTGGACACCTAATTATTGACTAAACTGGTAATAATATATTAATACCTAATGTTTCTAAGAAAAATCGTATCAGGTTATCAAATGGTTCTTGTCAAAGCAGAAAACTTACTTAATTCTGCCTCAAATAAACTGGAACAAACTCCTTCTTACAATATCGGTACTGATTAGTTACCGAGCATAAGAAAGATATGTAATAAATCTTGGTCTACCTTCTAATGAGTTTTGTCAGGGTTGTGGCTTTGCGGATGAGAAAGAAATTGTACTGTACCTCATGTGTTAGTGCCTATCATTAAATAGGAGAAGGTTCAAAATGTTTGAAGCTCTTCTCTAACTAAACTTTTAAAATTATTATCTTCATCATATTTTAAAATAAGGTAAGTCCCTCAGTTTGTGCCAACTTTATAGACTTGTCAGATTGGTTCCCTTCTCCTTGAATGGAGATGTCGTCTGTTCTTAAAGCATGTGATGAAATATACTTCGAATAAAAGTTAAGCTATTCTTTATTCACAACATCTTAAACGTTGGGACACATAATATATTCTACGTTAAATAGATGATTAAGTTGGTTTTGATTTATTTTATCTTGACTTCTCAAAAATTAGGATTCAGAACAAATTTAACGGTGATCAGAAAATTCAGCTGCTGTTTATTCAAGACTTTTGAAACGTTGCTGCTCTTGATTCACGAGTTCTCAAACATTGGAATTCAAGAAAAATTTAGCATTGATTAACCTGCTCTTAATTCATGATATCTTCAACATTGGTATTCAAGGCAAATTTTACCTCTATTGAAATATACTTCTGGTCTGGATTCAGAACTTTTTCGAAGACGAATTTTACGTTCATTAAATGTTGATATAAAAAAAATGAAATTTACTTTAGACTAATTAAGTAATTAGACTGTTCTTAATTCACGAATTGTCAAACGTTGGGATTCGGAACGAATATGCTAAGGTTACATCCACTGAAATTTGTTTAAATTTTTGATGTTTGGTTTATTATATTAAAATATTATATATTGAAACTATTAGAACTTTATCGTCATTCTTTTGTAATATTTGAATACATTAGTTTTAATCTTTCACTTTTTTATCAGTTGTGTAGAATGTTCAGAACAATAAAGCCCCAGAATATAATTAGAACTTGTATGGTTCGCAAGTGTCACTCAACAACATCAGCGAATACAAAAGCAGATAACGTTTCAAATGAAGATGATATATCGCAGGACAATAATCCCGAACTATGGGATGACTTCACCAAAGAATTTATGAAAAATCGAATTGAGTTAACACCACTTCAAAAATTTATACTATGTACTGGATCTTCGCTTGCCGCCATTTTAGATCCTAGAAGGTAACTATTAAATGAAATAAATGACTATTGAAATATATAGTCTATGTGAAGGGTGTCTAAAATGTTTTTAAAAAATTATATTTTCCTTACATCATTATGTATAATATCTCAGGCACGATATGATTGCTTGTCTTGGAGAAACAACTGGAGGATTTGCATTAGAAAACATTTTACAAGAAATGAAGTCCAATGAGGAGGGTCAAAGAATACTCACATTAAGACCACGCATCAATACAAAAACCGTTGATCTTGATAAATTACGTTCCCTACCAGAAAATAAATTTGGATATGCCTATGTAAAATTTTTGGATCATAACGTAAAGAAGCATTCTATATGAATAATACAGTACGAAAATATTAAACAATAAATTTTTATAGAATGTAACGCCAGATTCACGAATGGAAGTTCGTTTTATTAATAATCCAGAGTTAGCCTATGTAATGACACGATATCGAGAATGCCACGATTTGGTACACGCGATATTAGATATGCCCACAAATATGTTAGGCGAAGTGACAGTAAAATGGATAGAAGCTTTAAATAACAATCTACCAATGTGCTATGCTGGGGCAGTTTTCGGAGCAATGCGTTTAAGGCCCAAGTAAGTACAAAATATATTAATAAATATAAAATATTTATTATGATTAAAAAAAAATTGTTAAAGGCAACGAAAAGAATACGTCAATCGTTATTTACCATGGGCTGTAGAAAATGGCAAAAAAATGAAACCATTAATGCCAATATTTTGGGAGGAACGTTGGGAGCAAAATACAGACGATTTACGTAAAGAATTAAATATAACACCATTAAAATAATATATATACATATATTTTTGCAAATTTTGTATGTTATATTTATACTTTATATTAAAAAAATATATTTTTACAAATGTATTCTTATGTTAATATTTGATCAAGTGTATCTGTTAGTAAATTATATAATTTTATTTGAAATATATTTTTTCTTTAATTATTATTATTGATATGGATTGAAATAAATGGGGACATGGTCTTGAATAAATTCTCTATTTATTGAATAAATAGTCAATAAATAGGGTGTTCATATTATTTTTTTTAAATAATTTTATTTTTATTTAAATTTTCTACTAATATAAATTTTGTGTTCACTGAAAATTAATTATAATGTTTTAAATTACGAGAAACAATTTATCTTCGAAATCTTGTGATGCGCCTACATAAGCGAAAAATATGTAAATAACGAATTTGTAACTGGGTGTTTACATTGACTTAATTATAACAAGATTTTTATGTTCAAATATAAAAACGTAATACATTAAATTTTTTTGCAAACAAAAATTTCTGTGTATTAGTAAACAAGTAAGAGTGTGAGAAAAATTTCTGCTAAAGTCTAGTCAATGTAAACGCTGGGTAATTTTTATATAATGAAATGGAGTACAAAACGTTATTGTTACTGTTACTATTGAATAGTACGAATATTGTATAAACAAAATTAAATAAGTTTTCAATATATGCGCATTCCCCATTGTCTATTATCTTGAAAATCCTCTAAAACTATCGAGGATTTGTCAACTATCGTTTGTTCCGGCTAAAAACAAATTAAATTTATTGTATATTGAATACAATAAAATATATTTGAAACAATATTTCATCTAAGAGAGGAGTCCATGCAATGGAATATATTATATATATAAAGCGAATGTGTTAATTAATTTGCTTTATAAAAGTTATTAACAAGAGTTGGAAAAATGGACTGCAAAAACATATCTGAATATGTAAATTATAATTTTATGTTAATTTAGTTTTTCTTAATAGTTATTCTGTGTAAATATTTTAACTCTTTAGGTCTTTAAGTCTTTTATAGTTATTCTTGTAAATACGCTTAATGGAGCTTGATTCATCCCGGAACATTTTCACCAATCTTACAAATTTATAGAACTTTTAACTGAATATATTAAATCGCTTTATAAACTTTAGTCTCAAAAAATAATTAAATACAAGGATTATTTTCAAGACCACTGATGATGGGTATTTGGCAATACTCGAAACAGCTGTATAGTCAGCCAAAAATTCAATTACTTAAAATAATATAAAAAATAAAATTTTTGTTGTTATAGTTCACTACTGTTCGAAAAACCTCTTTATAAAATTTATAAATTTGATTTGGAAAAATGAATTGTTAAAACATATTTCATAGCATATTATAGTTTTATGCTAATTTATTTTCTCTTATTCGTTTATGTTATACATACATGTAAATGAAAGTTCTGAACATCGCTGTATATTTTGTTTTGCTTTGCTTGTTTATCAACAATATTTACAATATATCATCAGAGAATCGTAAAGTAGTGAATTTCAAATTTTATTGAAACTTCATTTTACACAAATTATAATTTAATTTCAATTTTGATTGTCGGATTCTCGTAAGAAAGCGAATTGTAAGTTCATTTAATTATGTTACAAAAGATCCGAACGAAAAAAATTACAATTGCAGTTTTCCTTTTGATGTAGAATCACCACTTAAAAAGCTTATAAAATAAGAAATATAATTTTCTAATCTTAATTTCCATTATTCGTACAATTTACAAACTATTCAAATGATTTACTTATCAATTTATTGATTAATATTATGTTAACAGTGATAGATAAAATAATTTTATTTCAATTTCAGATGCTTTCAACTATTATGTTTACAATAATATGACTTCAGCAATTGCTAGAGTAATTATTTTTTTAAAAAATGAAACAAATCTTATATATTATCATACTAGTAATATTAAATTATTACCCTTTTTTTCTAATTTCAGCCATGTTATTATTTTTGTTATTGCTGTTACAAACAAGTTGGCAACGCGAAGTATTTGATGATGTGTTGACATTTACAACAAGAACATATACAGACAGACGAGCGGACGGTGTTTACATTTGCTATAATTTGTTTTGTTTTTATTTAGTTTTTATTTGTTTTAATTAATTTTATAAAATATTTTGCAATTATTTTATGTAAATATAAAACTGATAAAATGTCAGAAAAGTTTAATGGTTTTAGCCAGGATGAAATAAATAAAGTATCTGGCAAAAAATTAAATAAGAATGACGGATGTGAGTAGTAGATAATTTTGATTAAAAATTAATTTATGCTCATTATTATTATTATTTATTAGTAAAGCAAGCATTTCGTGGACCGCACACCGGCATACGTCGAATGCCAGATAAGGTTACTAAGCCCACTATTACAACTAAAAAACAACAACAAGCTTACAAGAAAACTACTTTAACAAAAAATGATGCAGAAATCGAACAAAATGAGGATGTTGTCAACATAAACAATGTGGAAGATGACACAGATAATATTTCTGCAATGCCCAAAATCTCTAAGGATAACATGTTCTATCCTATAATAAAGTCCGTAGCTGCTCTACATAAAAGAGAAGCACTAAATGGTGTTAAAAGTGAGTCTGCATCACATCCGAATGATTTGCCTGATGAAAATGTGATAACGTCAACATCCAACGCAGTTGAAAATTGTTCTGAAACAACACCTCCTCTTGTTGTGGAGTCAGCATTCAAAGGAGTGTCATTAAAAGATTTTGAATCTCATAGAAAATTAATTCAAGAACAAAATAATCAGAAAAAGGAATTACTAAGAAAAGCTATAGAACAACAGTCAGTATATTTAAATGTTTTAAAATTGATTACATTGTTAATTTATTAATATTTATATGTATATTAGTTCACAAAAAACTGCTGCAGAAACTAAAAAAATAGAAGAAATCAAAAGTGAGCTCTCAAAACTCGATAATGATTTAGCTGTGGATGTTGCAATACTACGTAAACAAATTGACAATGCATGTATACATTTTGCTAATGTTGAGTGAGTCGCCGTTATATATAAAAATATTTTATTTAATTGGTTTTTTTTTTTGTTAAATACTACAGAAAGCAGTATATAAAAATTGAGGCTCAATTTTTAAAATCTAAAATTGATTTACATAATGCTGCAGAAAAAAAGGAATTGCTTACGGAACATCTGTGTACGGTGATAGCACATAATGAAGATCGCAAAGCACAAAAACTGTCAGAACTAATGGAAAAAGTTGGTATTACTCCAACTGGTGAATATGAGCCAACTTCAACCACTAATGATATTGATAAGTAATTAGTAATTACGAATTTATTCTGTTTTTAAATAAATTGATGGTTTAAATTTTATTGTACTATGACATCAATTTCTAAACAGAACCTTTCTAATATTCTTTTTAATCACTTGAATTGTACTTCAAGTACATATAGACTACTTAGTGTATTTTCTTGCTATCGAATAATTAATGTGACTAAATAATATCCATATTATTTTAAATATTTTTATCTCGAAATAATAGTTTATTGTAGCATACCATCGGATTCTCGTATGAAATCAGATTGTAATTTTACTTGATTTTGTAACAAAATGAATCAAAAGATCTGAATGAAAAACTACTTGACAATATTAAAAGCTTTACCATAATTTTTCCAATAAGTTTTAAAGTATATCAAAAATTAATAAATATTATGTATATTAAATACAGTGCTCAAACGAAAGTGTGAACTAATCAAGTCCCAAATATTTGTTTACATTTAAGAACTTCCATGTCTTAGAGTAGTTAATGTAGAGAAAATTGTGTTCACGTAATCCATGTATGCCAATGTTCACGTTTTTGAGCGAACACTGTATGTTTACTGTAAATACATGTGACCTGCAATATATTTTTAAATAAATATTTCAAAATTAGTTTTACTAATAAAATTGTTTTTTTAAAATTGTAAAATATAATTTTTGTAATAATAAATAATCAGCTTTTAGTAATGAAAACTGTAGTATTGTTATGATAATTACTACTTAAAAAATTGAAAAATACTGCTTGAATAAATTACACTAATTATCGAAATGTAAAATAAAATTTTATTAGTCATAAAAATCATATATGTAATTTTTTTTCAATGCGAGATTATTATTTATCTCTTTTTATGAATAATACTACCCATTTTGAAAATTTAATAGGCATTTATACGTGTTTGTATTGTGCTTGGTTGAGATTTAATAATAAAAAGTCCAATATTATTATGATATCTATTACTAGATGTTGAAACACATTAAAAATAATTTTTATAAATCTGCCATTAATGTATTAATATAACTAAATGTTATTGTTAATATATAGGATAAAATTATACATACATGCATAAGTATTTATTTCTAGTTTATAATAAAACAAAATAAAGATTTATTACGAGATATGTATTAAAATTGATAAATTTTATTTAAATCAATAAAAATATTTTGAATAAATTGTTATTACGACCAATATTTAATACGTTTTTTAATTATTACCGGACTTCGGTTGTTAATTTAACATATAAAAATCAAAAATATTTTTTTAAATAAAAATGTGTTAGGTATTTAATTATATTTTAATTTTTATAAAAAGTTATTTATATTACAAACATCGGTTTATTTATTTATTTCGGTTTACTTTATACTTTATTTCGTAAGAGTACTTTTTATTTCTAAGAAAACATTTTCAGTTTTTATGTGGTAAATTAATAATGTAATAACACCAGTAAAAATTAAAAAAACAAAAATATTTTGTATAAAAAAATCAAAATTTTTGAGACTGGCAATACTAATTGCGGTGTTTAGAAGTTTTTTGACGTTTCAAATTTGACTAGTGCCTTGCAATAAAAACGTTGTAGCTAAAATTTCAAAATTTGATTTATCACCAAAATATTATGGCTGGTAGAGGACGTGGTGGCAAAACTGGTACATTAACCCAGGACCAAATAAATAAAATGGGTATTGGTACAGAAATGCCTATTCAAACTGCTCCACCACCAACATATCCACAACTACTATCGAAGCCAGTGACAATGGAAGTAAATATATGCGTAATAAATATTTATCCCATTACTGAGAAATATATATTTATTTAGATAACATCTGCGCAAAGTTATCAAATATTGTGGAAGGAAGACTTTCTAAATCACATGCGTGATTCACCTTACTTTTTATTACCAAAAGTAAACACAAAACTGAACATGCAACGACAGGTGGATCAGCTGGTGGTATGTAGGCAATCTGTAATTAATTAAAATTAATACAACATTTCTGGCACATATAGGCAGCACTTGAGGACTCCAAAATGAAAACAAAACCAGATTTTAATTGGCAATTATTGCCACCTGAATTACATCTAACGGGAAAAAGGCGTATAGCTACTGCTGACAAAAATGTACCAACTAAAAAACTAAAAACAGAAAATATTGAAGATCGTCTAAAATTACTCGAAGAAAAAGAGCGTACTGAAGGTGATAAAGATTTGTTAGACAAAGCTAACTCTGAATCAGAAGTGGAAGATGAAGAGGTAATCATGTTTCGATTTTTTATATATGTTTATAAATTTTTTTTACGTTTTTAGGAGGTTGCTGCAGATGAAGAAATGGATGATGAAAACGACTATGGAAATAGTTATTTTGATAATGGAGAAGCATACAATGAAGAGGACGATAATTTAGATGATGGACCTGTCTATTAAGTACGTAGTAGTTTATAAAGTAATATATAAGTAAAGACCCTAAAACTAGAAAAATTTTAAAAATGCATATTTATTACTTCTATAACTGCAATTTTTAATATATATATATTTAAATATATATATAAATATAATATATATAAATATAATTCAGTACACTACTTTGTGATTGGGCTAAGTACAAAGTAGAACACTTAGGTTATTAGGTTTCTATAATTATATGCGAAAACCTACTGTCGGATATCTAAATTTTAAAAATGAAAAGGATCATAGCACAATGAATGACATGTTAGTGATAGCATAATAATTCTATACTGTTTGTTACCTTGTCTACAATTATTGTTCTAAATAAAAGTATACCTTTACCAAGGGACAAATCCTGATTTTGCACGTACGCTATTTTTCACAGCTACCTGGATGGATTCGTTTGTGTAATTTCAACTTCGTTTTCATTGATGTTAGCTAATCATAGACTGGATTTGTATTTAATAAGATTTCAATATCTCTGCAGGCTTAATTAAATGTGATATTCGTAAAATTTTTGGAATCGCCACATAATGTCTTGACTTACTATGTTTTGCTCTTAAAATGCTTGATGTTAAGTGTTCAATTGTGTAGAATACAAGGTTAAGGTTTAATCTTTGCGAAATTTGTTGAAATCTCTCTGTACAATTTTTTTTAAATTTCCATTACTCACATAATTAAGGTAACTTAAACTTGATGAAAAATTTTAGAATTTTTGTGAAATACTCTACTGTAATACTGGAACTAATTTTAATAACACTAAATTATTGTGAACTAATTTGATAGAAAATAAATAAGGCCAGGTTAGCCAATAACCCAAGTATAATCTAACATAAACTGAAATTGTTAACGGGTTTCATGATAGGTCATGATAGATCTGAAATATTACTTTCATAAACTACGGTTATCTGCTAATTCGGAATGCAGATTATGCTCGAAAATGAGGAAACTACTATGCATATTATTCGTGACTGTTCAGGTTTAATAACGCACACAAGAAACTTGTTTCATATGGAATTTCTGTCACCAAAACATATTAAGAACTCTTCCCTAGATTTAGTTCTGGACTTTGTTCACAAAGCTTTAATGGGCTTTGTGAAATCAATAGTGAATTTGGTACAATAGAACTCTTCTGGTCGTAGTACCGGCTGTTGCACGTCAAAGCTTTAATAATAATAACATAAACTGAACGTTAGAAACAATATATAAAATAATCGATTTTTGAAAGTTACCATATTTTTAGATATTCAGGCTCATATTCAACCACAATTGTTTATAGTTGATTAATTAAACATAAATTTCTAAATTAAAGTATTAATTAATTTAAATCTCTGACTCCTTTCAATTTAATTGATTTGTTGATACTTAGTTTTTTAAATTTCTTCTTATTGTCTTGATGCAACATAAAAAATTTCATATTTGGAAATCAATTTATTTGTTTATTTTCTTAACGAAAATTTTTTTCTGCATCTTACACTTAATTACATACAATTTATTTATATTAATTCACTTAATGTGTTGATAATATGCAAAATCCAAATCTATTTAATCCAATGATTTTGGTGGTGCGTAGTTAAGTTCAATAAGACCTGAAGTCTTAGCCTTTGTATATATAAGAAAATACATGAAAATAAGAAAATTTTATTATATTAGTAAATCAATGTTAAATACAAATAAATGCTATAATGTACTTACGATACTTATGGTACCAACTAAAGTCAAAACACCTAGTATCAACACTGCATTATACTTGGAGTTTTGACGAGAGTACTGCTCCTGCCAGTCTCCGGAAGGAATTGGCAAATCATTCATAGTCGAAGGTTTAAGTCCACCATCGTGATATGCAGCACGCGTAATGGCGGCAGCTAAAATACAATTATATTAATAAATTGATTATAGCAATAATAAAAATAATTTAGACATAGACAACATTTTGCAGAAGTGAGTTATGTAATTGAGGTTAAAATATTTAAAGATTGTACACAGATTTTCAAAAGAAACTTACCATTTCTGAACAAAAGTCCTTGTTTCACGAGTTGTTTAACCAACATTTTTTCAACCTTCAATGAAAACTAAATATATATTAAAAATTTTATTTGGGTAATCTCAATCCTCTACGGCTGCTCACCTGCTGAATATGACAGAATCAAACGAAATGCTTCATCTTTCTGTGCAGAGAATATTCACAATAAAATTGTCAAATTCTATTACAAAACTGTAAGTAAGAAGCAGTAACGTTAATTTTACCAATATTCACAATAACATTTGAATTTATGTATGCATATGTAATGCGTCCAATCCGAAAGATTTATTATAATAAATACTATACATTTAAAAAAAAGGTAAATAACTTAAGGTAGCTCCACACCAAAGCGAACGTTTGCGAACGAACAAACTTTTGCAGTTACGATTACCTGCGAATATTAATCTCAAATATATATTAATAAAGTAATCATGTAGAAAATCACAGATATGAACCATTTATTCACAGATCACAACTAATTTGTAATTTTTTGTTTAATACTGCATTCACGGTAGCACTCAAAATTGATTCAATTTTCATTATCTCTATTTCGAGCGTAATAGAGCACAATTCGCTCCATTCATATATAAAGTAAACGTCAATAACAATAAATTATATGCAATTATTGTTGCAAATTTGAAGATTGAATATACTTAATAAAAGTATTAAACAGACTTTATTATCATTTGACATTTGTTTATTAATAAAATAATATAATATAAGAAAATAATATACATTTAAAAAAACTTTATTGGCATGACCTGATTTATGTATGTGAAGTAGCTTTTATAAGTCAGGAAGTTCTACGAAAGCTTTCCTTTGTTAACATTTCAGTTGTATATAAAGTTTTGTATTGTTAGCAGAAAATATTCAGAAAAAATTCAATATGGAAAAGCAAAAAATGCAAATAATTTAATATATAATGCTTGTAAAATTGTTTACAACATGAATAAAGCAATAGATGCACACAGAAAACAACATGCAATGCATTTGACAAAAATTAATAATTATTAATAAACAATAATTAGCATTACTTTTATCTAAATTTAATTATCAATTTTTAAATATTTATTGCATATTTATTTTATGAAAATAACAAACTTTATTAAATACTAGTACGTACTTCTTTTTGCCATTGAGTTTCTCAATTCTCGTGAAATAAATAAATTTCATTTAATAGTATATCACATGAAAAAATGAATATAGAATCGATATATTATATCAAATATATATATTTTAAATATTCAATTAATAAAAACAAATGCTTTATTTTATACTTACTTTTTCGATATGTTTGTTTACAGCTTAACTTTTGCATGTTTATATATTACATATATAATGTATGACAAATATTTTAAACTTTGATGATTTCCCTTGTGGGAAATTTGTTTTTAAGGGTTATACTCCACATTTTTTACCTTAAATGAGTTGATTTATTTATAATAAGCTTATTTATATAAAAGCTTTTTATATGGTAAATTAGCAGCCTTAATGAGCAAAACTGCGTAAATGAGACCAAAAGAAACATTGTATTACACAAATAATTAATTATTAACTATAATTAATTGTTAATTATTTAATAATTAATTAAATAATTATGCTCACATTAAATCTTGTGTGTTTTTGGCCCAACAACACACACTTAAAATGTATTGTTTTATTCTCTTCAACATATATTATTTAATTTGGTTTAAAAAAATTTATTATGATAGAAATTTACTATCATTGTATTGATCTCAAACATGAGCCAGATCTTGACAATCTAAAGATTTTACATGAAGAAAGAAATTAAAATAAAAGGTACTTTCTAGAAATGCTTTCAATATTTAAAACTCCAAATAGTAAAAGATTAAATTATATAACGGATGCAGACAACTGTGCTCAGACTTATAGAAATATTATAAACAAATGACACAGGATATTGTTTATGTATTTTATAATTTGTATTTTCTTTTTGTTTTTGTTGTTGTTATTATTATTATTGTATTTATTGTTTTTCCCGCTATAACTTTTACATTGCATATTTCGTTAGTTTCCCTGAAAATGACTATCGAAGATAGTCGAAATATTGGAAAATAACTTAATAAAATAATTTGTTTTAAATATAAATAAAAAAATAAATATAAATATAAAAAAATATAAAAAGTAAATATAAATATAAATATAAAAAATATAATTTTTTTATTTTCATTTAAATAAGCGTTTATAAATTATTTGATATTTTTGGCCAATATAATATATTGGTCTAACCAGTGTGACTCGTTAAGTAACATTAGCATGACTTTCTCAGCATTACCTTCTTAGATTAGATTCTATACATAAGAAAGAACAAATCATGCAACAAGTAATGCTTTCACAAACAGAATAGTATTGAAATTTAACAATTAAAAAAAAAAAATATAATTAATTAATTCAATTATTCTACAGCTGGTTTATAATTTCGTTCTAATATAAACACAACAAGTGAATTTGTTAATAAAACTTTCACAGCAAAGTAAAAAAACTCCAGAAAAATGTGCAAACATAAAAGTCAAGTACGGCTTTGGGTCAGTTTGTTTCTGAGCGCTCAGCTTCAAATTTGGCAGGGCACGAGTTTAATCCCAGGTACTTGCAGTCCCAAAAAATTATTTACAAATAATTAAATACGAGAATTATTTCCAAGACCACTGATGATGGGTATTTGGCAATACTCTAAACAGCTGTATGGTCAGCCAAAAATTCAATTAATTAAAATAATATAAATTGAATTTTTGTTGTTGTAGTTTTCTGCTGTTTCAAAAAAAACTCTTTCTGTAAATTTCTATCTAAATTATTTGTCGTGTTGTTGAGTTCACAAAAATATTCCAAATGATATTTGTCGTCTGTTGGGTACAATCACACTATAAGGTACAGAATAAATTAAATTTTAGGCTTGGCAACCCATCCCCTTATTATTTTTTTATTCCAATTAATGTTTTTTTTTTTTTTTGAAAAGAAAAGAGAATATGTTTATCATAAATTCTCTGTTTTTATATTGAACTTTGAATACATATATTGCCAGTGTTTTAAGATTATGATAATAGTTCAAATTTAGCAAAATGTACGAAGGTTGTGCTGAAGTTCTTGTGGAAAAGCAGGACAAAATTTTGATTATAAAATTCAATAACCCAAGAAAGAAAAATAGTCTCAATCAAAATGCGTATTCAGCAATTGGACGAATCTTTCGGCAAGCGGCAAATGATGAAACTTTGACGACGATTGTTGTCACAGGTACTGGAGATTATTTTTCTTCAGGTAATGATCTGTCGCAAAGTCCAGATATAACCGATGTAGATGAGCATGTTACCAAAACTACAAAAAATCTTGCGGATATGTTGAGTGCTGTAATAGATTGTCCCAAGATTATAATAGCACTAGTTAATGGTCCAAGTATTGGCATAGGTGCTACGTTGACTGGGTTATGTGATATTGCTTGGTGTACAGAAAATGTAAGTTCATTTAATGCAGTCTAAATTAAATTTAATTATATACAATATTTCAAGGCTTATTTTCTAACACCATTTACGAAATTGGGTATTGTACCAGAAGCTGCTTCTTCTTATTTATTTCCACATCTATTGGGTCGATCTAAAGCATCAGAGATGTTGCTGTGCTCAGAGAAAATGTCGGCTAGTGAAGCATACCATTTTGGCTTTGTGTCAAAGATTTTTAAATCTGAAGAATTGGATAGTATTGCATGGCCTAAAATTAGACAATTTTCTGAACTTCCACCAGAATCAGTTAGAGTATCAAAACAACTTTTACGTATAAATGAAGTTGACTCCACATATAAAGCTATTCGAAATGAATGCAATGAATTAAAAAAAAGGTTTACGTCTGAAGAGTTCATGAATGCAATAATACAATTTGCCACAAGAAAAAGAAGTTCTAAATTATAAAGACAATGGACGTTCGTCACGGAAACAGTTCTAGATTGTCAAGGATTAAGGGATGTTATATTCAGTGTGGACTATTTAAAATTGATCAATAAAACATTGTTAAGCTTATTTTAATTTGTTAATATTAGTTCTCCCATACAGTGTAATAATTAGCACTAACGGTAGTGGGTTGTTCTAATTGAATTGGATTTAGTGGTTGTATTTTTAATTCTCGATTAAAAAATATATTTTTTAACTTCTGCATATTATACATTTACAAATATACATGTGTATATAAATATCTTGAGCATAAAATCTCAGTCAACAGATTGCAAAAGAAAAAAAACAAATAAAGGTGAAAAATAATGGAATACTATTATATTTATTATCTGTAGTTTTTGCTTAGAAGAATAAATACTCGTAGCTAATGAAGGTGTATAGTGATAAATGCAATTATTAACAAAGTAAAAAACTTCTGCTGTAGAACTTTTTTTAAAAAATATGTCACTACGTAATTTGTTTTGAACATACACCGGTTAAACATAATTGTCAGCTATATATACCTCACCACATAAAATTAATTACTTTTAATGTTTTTCGATTTACCTGGTGTTTTTCGAAAGAAAGTACTTTTCAAAGATTTAAAATATATTATTTCAATTGCATTAGAAAGCAAACCCAGGGTTGATATTATTGTATTAGTAGTTTTCCCTTGTCATTTTAGTCTAAAAATTTTGTTTCAAACGATGGACGCGAAAGAACAAAAGAATGTATCTAAAGAAAAACAAGTAAATAGTAGTCCTACTATTAAGTATTTTCCCATTCTTTTATGTGATGTTAAAAGGTTGAATTTATCAGAGAACGCACAATGCGTATATACCGCATTCGATGGAACAGTAAAATTTAAATTTTGTATTGTTTACGCTAGAATTTTACGATCCTATACACCAAATAAGTTATGCGACAACTACCTGATCGATGATGGCACGGCGGTGATTAGATTAGGTATTGTTCGACGCAAAGAGGCTGTGGAAGCAACGTCCAACATGAAGAATGAATTACAAGCGTTGAAAGAATCCACAACATCGGAGATTACTCCAAATATAGCTGAGTCACTTGAAAGAATACTTGACAAAACAATACAATTACTTGATACATCACAATATCAATTGGGCACAAAGCTTATTATATGTGGGACACCGCAAATGTACCGTGGAAATATCGAACTAAAAGCACATACGGTTCATGAGGATGTGGGTTTATCTCGAAATTTAGAAATCGCCTTTAAAGATCATCTAATTGAATGGTATAACAAGACAAAATTGAAACAAAAACCAACAACTTAAAATAAATAAATCATATTTATTGTTTCTTAAGAAATGTTTTAGTCATTTATTGTATATATTGTTCAGTTTTATGTTTTAAGTTGAAATAAAAGAATTTTTGCAATGTAATTTTCAAATAAAATTTTCTGCCAATTATTCAAAAAAAAAAAAATTAAAAATACAAACACTACATTGGAACTACTAAAACTGCGTAATCTATGTTGTTTTCGCTCTGATTGCAGCACGTTTGCCAGTGACAGCTTGAAAACCAGACTTTATGCTGGCCACCGAACAACGTGAGCCGCATGACTCGCATTGCAGGAAGAAAAGGCGGGTGTCCTTCTGTAATATTGTTTCAGGTGAACGGCATGTATGACAAGTCACATATTCTTTGATGTAACGACGCAGCACATTCTCAATCTGTTTAGGCTGGAAGCGACCTTTAATAATAAGCTGTTGATTACCGTCCATTGAGCCGCTAGTACCTAATTCAGCTAGTAAAAAGTCTAACAAATGTTTGGGCAGGCGATGAAGAGTTTTAGCAATATCCATGAAATTTGCAAATGAAGTCTTTTTTGTACCGACACGCAAAACTTGTGGAGGACGCATAACGAATTTTGGTTTACGGCCAGCCGCCATGTCGGGATTTTTATCTAGAATTATGTCAAAAACACGTTTAAGCAATTCGTCATATGTGTAATCGCGATCAGATCCAGCCCAAGTTGAACTATTATCTTCAACTATAAAAACAAAAAAATTTTATAAGTACATATGCTATATGATATGCTATCATAACATACCGTTTTCTTTGTCGTCTGATTTCTCCTCATCTAATTTGTCAGCAAATAGTTCGTCAAGGTCCTTCTTTTTACTTTTCTTCTTCTTTTTCGCCATTGAGAAGTCCATGTCCAAGTTGATGTCGTCATCCGGTTCTTCCATTATAATATTACCTTCATCGGCACCTTCTTTAGAAGGCAATGCACCTTCTAACTCGTCTAAGTTGAAAGGCTTCTTCTTCTTTTTCTTTTTTTTACCAAAACTTTCTAAATCTAGGTTGTCATCAAATTCATTGCCAGCATCAGCTGTTTGTTCATCTTTGGATTCTTCCTTCTTATTACCTTCATCGAGACCTAAAGCTGCATCCAAATCAAAGGTCTTCTTCTTTTTCTTTTTCATTTTAAGCAGTGTTGGATCAAAACCCTAAAAAAAAATTATAATTTTAATGCAAACAGTTCCGCCTGCTAATCTAACCTCAAAAAACTAATTTATAATGTTAAATTCCACATTTCGTGAAAATATTTATTTATTTTATGAAATACTTACGTCTTCTGCTTCCATCTTTCAGTTTTTTATATTAATGAATCAATTCAATTTAAACTTATTCCGAAAATGTGAGTTTAATTAAAATCGTGTATTGCATCAGAAATTTTAGCACAAAAGAAAAATCGTGGTGACAGGGCAATAGTTTCTTTTTTTTTGTTGTTTCTTTCTATGCTTTCTCCATACTGTTTTTCACAATTAATTTACAGAGTTGTATTTGTGTTCCTAAAAGTATTTTAAAATATCTGACAGATCATTTTCATATCAATATTAAGAAGTTATATAATTTATATAATTTAATGTAATAATTTAATTTAAATATATAATTTAATTTAAATAATTTATATATAGCATATGAATTTGTAATATTTTTTGTTTAGCACACTTCTTTGAAAACATGTTTACACAATTTTAATTTTATTTTCCAAATACGTAGTTCTACTTGTATACGAAAATGTCAAACATTTCACCAAAATTTTTCTAATTTTAAATATCATAGCAACTTGATATAATCATTGCAATAAATGGCAATGATTGCAAAGCGAAATGCAATATATCCAGATTTTCAGATTTATTGTCATTACCACAAAGGGCTGTATTAGCATTTAATCTATTAGAATTAATTACTGAACATACTTAAAGAGAGCATTAAACTGATCTTAATAATATCAAAGATTGTTTTTAACAATTACATTTTTTTTTGTATACGTTTTGTATCTTACAAAAATTTTTATTTTTATTTAAAGCAATAACTATACTGGTTTAATAAAATTAATAGAATCCATTTGTCTCCTTGATGAATTCATTACAAATATTAAAAGTATTTATTTGTTATTATTAAATAAATTATTTATTACATATTATTTATATACATTAAACATTTTTAAACATTTTACATTTCTTACTTTTTCAACAAATTGCTATATTTTTGAAAGAATTTTTTTAAATTTCAGAGTTTAAGCAAATATACAAAATTTGCCTGTTGGTTAATTACAAATAATCAAAAGAATCAGGTTAAACACCCATTTTAAGATTAATTGTGATACTTCTATTTATCCCAATAAATCTATGCAAGTCTGAACAGGTTATAAGTCGAACGAGCTGAATGCGCAAAATAACAATCAACGATTACTTCTAATAATCAGAAAAAAGCAACAAATAAACTTGAAATTTAAACAGCAAAATTTCGACAGTTTTGGCTCTTTTTGTTAAAAAAAGATGCGTAGGCGTTGTTTCTAATTCACAAGCTTAAAGTTTTAAGCCTTAGACTTGTAGTTTAAGAATTTTATACTAACTTAAAAAGCAAATAAATCAGTAACCTTGTCATTTTTAATGTAAAATGTTATTGCAATCGTCTTGTTTAAAAATCTGAAGATACTTGGTAATTAGTATTATAGGTTATACAATAGATCTGTTCCGCGAACTACTCGTAGTAACTTTGAGTAACACTGTGTATACACAAGTGCGTTTACCAGCGCTATTTTCGAGTAAATGAGAGCACATGAGAGAACGTAACATCCCTGTTGATGTTTAAAAATGTTGCACAGACTTTACTCGTACGTTTTATTTCAAGTGAAATTTGTATGATGTGTGAATCAGATGTTTTGGTGCGCGACACTGGTGTTCTTCCCAGACTTTACACATAGCTGTTCCATGAAAATCTGTGTAAAGAACGTAATTTGGTACTTTATTTGTGTTACGCTCTCAGTTTTTACTTTACTTGTGTTTTACTACGAGTAGCTCTTGGAACAGATCTAATATTTTAAAAATGCCTCACATTATTAACTCTTAGAAATTGATACTCTTTATAGGTAAGCATACGGCTTGAACGATGGTAGATACTGATCATAAAAAAAACGCTTAGTATTTTATTACTTATTAACAAAATTCATGATTTCTAAATTATGGTCAACAATTAATAAGTTTTTTTAATTAAAAACTTTAACAATTATACAAAAAATTGATCGAATTTATTTCAATCATCAAGAAAATGATGATAACTTGAGGTTTTTTGGTACATTTTTGAGCAAATGTTTATCAGTGAAAAACTTAGGAAAGTAATTATCAAATTACTGCAAGGGAATTTGCAGAGGCCGAAACAAATGGGAGGCAAACGGTGCAATGTCCTGTTTATGCGGTGGATGCATCACCAATCTCTCAATTTGTTTGAAGTCATGAAGGATATGTGTGGCCCGGCGTCATGATGAAATAAAAACTTGCTTCTGTTGACAAATTATGGTCGGCTTTCCATTATAGTCTCATTCAAGCAATAGTTTGCCAAATTAATCGTTGTACGAGGCTGGATTAGCTCGTATTGGATAGTTTTTTCACCCTCACTCTACACTCAACATAACCTTCAATTTCGGCTTAGAAATCGTTGGTGGAGAATCACAATCCTTTGACCATGATCACTTGCGTAGAATATTTTCTTATTTAATTCATTTTTGAATTATAATGCTTTGCTTTAATTACGTTTCAGCAAGGTTTTACTGATGGTAATTTAGTCAATTAAAGTTGATTGCGTTAATTCTTGTAATACCCAAACATCGAGCGATTCTTTTTAATTGGTTCCAACTATCATGTTGTTGATATCTCGTATTTCCGTTATCGTCTGACAGCTTGCGTGTCGGTCTTGCTATATTAGTAATAAAATTTCATTGAATTTTTTAGCCATTGGCCGACTACAACAAGGTGTATTTTTGATATCGAAATTTTTGGAACGGGATTGAGCAAATCGCACTTGTATTCGACGTTTACTCACCGTAAACTGCACACACTTTTTGATCATATTTTTGGTGCACTTTCAGTTTTTTGACAGTAATAAAGCATTACATAGCGTATTTTTTGAGATATTTTACTCATTTTCAAATCAGTATAACTTTTTACATAAGTGATAAATCACACCCGTACCTTTACAAAAACAAATATGTGTTCCTTTGACATAATCGAATCAGTTTGCCAGATATGTGGGTACAAACATCATCTCTTGACAAATTGTGGATATTTTTTATATTACTCAATATATTAAGATGGAGACCACAAATATAATTGATCTGTAATAACTATAGCGGTATTTACGATATTGAGTAATGAACTTAGATTCCGAGTAACCACGTAAAAGTGTAAGTTTACGTCATGGACCCTATTTTTGTAATGAAATATTTTTTTGGACACAACTTCCGGGTGGGGGCTTTCATCTTATATGTATCTCGTCGCTATAGTAATGATAAAAACTTCATAAAAATCAAACCAACAGTTCTTGATTATTCTTGAGTTAGTGCTATTACGCACTTTTACTCTATAATGGCTGGGGGGCTTATCTCTACCCCACACTAGGCTTTAACTAGGCTAAGAAATCATATCATTTATTTGTCTCTTAGTTGATAACGGACCTTAAATCAGCATATCTTCCTGAGAGTCCAGAAGTGGACTTGAGGATTGTTGGATCGGGGTTAAGTAGCGTATCAACTTTAGTGAATAATTTTAGAGCTCTATCTCTGATATATTTTTTCACTGAGTCAATCCAAAGATCTCTATGTATGTCTGTTGATCTAATATACCATGGAATCTTAAACAGTTTTCTTAAAGCCAGGTTTTGTGCAATCTGTAATTGCCGTAAGGTAGTATTTGAGGCTTTGTTATATGTAACACATCCGTACCAACAGTTGTTTTTTTGGTTATAATTAAATTTTTAGTAGAATGTTATAATGATACATCTTGCAACTTCTTTCAAAACAAATATTTTTTCTAAATAATTTTTAAGTTTCAATCTTTATTATTGTTGATTTTTAATGTTACCAATGAATAACGTTAACAATAAAAATAAAATTGATTATTTGGCTTAGCGATAAACATATTGCAAAATGAGAATTTTTAACTTACGTGAATCGTATAATTTCAAAATAAAATACAAATCGAAAGCTACTTTTCTAGCGAATAATTATATAAATCAATAATAATTGTCAAGGCAGTAAGAATGTTAATTAAAAAATATATATAAAAACATAATAAAATCATAGAAAGCTTCCGCTGCTTCTATAAAATAATGTATTAAATCAATTATATATGTGAGTTTATGAGCGTGCTGGGATGTGTAAGTTCAGGACCAACACCTCCAGCCATTTTTTGTACTAAAACGCCAACTTCATAGGCAAGATTATCAACCGCCTAAAATAAAAGAATATATCAATTTACAGAAATTTAATTATTATCATTTTTAATACCTCTTTTGTAGCAGCTTCTGCATATACACGTACAACATCTTCAGTGCCTGAAGGGCGAACAAAAGATCTACCACGCTTATAGTTCGCAACGATTTTATCAATAGCTTCTTGTAAACCAACTGGTGTAACGCAAACTCTTTCCGCATCTGTCGTTGAAATAACGTTGCGATCTTGTACTTTTATTTTCAATTGTAAATTTGGAAGATCATCGTAAGTACCAAGCCAATCTTTAACATCCCAACCTTTTTGGTTGAGAATTGTTTCAACTAAGAGCATATCAGAAATAGCATCACCGACTGTTTCATTGATAAGATTAATAACGTTTAATAAGGTTTTAGCGTCGTTGTTGCTATTTGCAGCTGTTGTAATAACAGCTTTCGCATTATCACTAAACACTACAGTACCATGCCCATTAGCTTCAAAATATACACCAATATCATATTCTAGTGCTTTATGATGTAAGTGTTTGACGCCTGTTGGTACGCAGGCAACAGGAACTTTAAGTTCATTCACAATATAATCTGTTGAGGCACCGTTAGCATAAGCAGTCTGTATTAAACCCAGACTCAGATCAAGCTCACAACGTTTTACTAAGTCCATCAGATAATCTGCAACTAGCGTTGCGATACGATCGCCATCTAACAGTCTAAATTGACCCGTTTCATCTGAGAAAAAATATACCACGCGATCCGCATCACCATCAACACTGACACAACGTGTATATGGTTCTAGTATGGGCATAGCAATTGGGATACGTTGCTGCACTTTAACGTGATCGGCACCGCATTCATGATTAATTTTTCCATCTCCCTTATTGAACACCTCCACGTTTAGTGAATTTTTCATACGTTTAAGGAATTGTAACATTTTGCGTGCCCCTACACCGTTTGCACCATCAAATATTAATTTATTACGATAGTTACCATTTTCCAACTTGTCACCGCGGATTTTCTCAAATGCTGTTATCAATTTTGTGTAGTATCCTTCTTCGGTTGGCTGTCCATAAGCGCCTTTAGTGTTCGCTGCTACCACAAAATAATGCAACATAGGTGTGGTTACAATTCCAAATTCTCGTACATTTCCTTTCAGCGCGATAACACCATCTGCTACAGCTTTAAGTAGTCTGGGACTGTGGTATCTATTATCCATACCTACAAATACGTTGGATGATGAGCCAATATCAATATTATTTTCGTTGATTATTTTTTTAACGTGTGCTTCTAGTTCTTGATCGGTAACGTTTGCTAAATCTGTCGCTATGCTTTCCCAACTAGCTTCCAACATTTCTCCCTTCGGATCAATTAATTTAACACCATTATCAGGTTCTGGGTTGTGGGAAGCTGTTATCATAACGCCTATTACAGCACCTCCACGTATGCGAGATCGTAATGTAGCTAAAACGCCCATTCGAAACATAACACTGTCCAGATTTTCGGCGCTAAATTAAGAATTAAATACCAGATTATAAATATTTATACGTCTTTTTAGATATTTAAAAAATAAAGGGAAAGGAGAAGAGAGTATAAAGCAAAATATATTACATATGAAAAAAGTTTACGCTTACTTAAAAATACCATATTACCATACCTTACTACTGTTCAATGATTGTTAGTGTGTTTCCACTGGCTTAGTTAGACCAATTAACTTACTTGAGATTGCTTGAATTATTTGAATCTGAAATAAGTTAAGTGGCGTAAGGAAATGGAAAAGTATTATAAGTTTTTTTAAACTTATGTTTTATTTTATATCAAAAATATATAGTGCCTTACATTTATTATTTTATTTAAGCATTTATGGAAATTTTTTTTCTTTGTCTGCTAATTGAATTGTTGTGTAATTTGTAATTGGTATTCTGTGGAATTTACGCTAATTAAGTTCCACTAAATGTAAGGTGTAAACACTACAAAATTGAAAACAAAATTTCCATGTTTATCCCTTACTTATTTAATTATGGTTTTTTTTTAACATTTATTATTATCGAATTGTTTCTAACATACTCTTCCATGAACAATTTGTATTGAAATTTTTTTTTATGACAAGACAATATCAATAAGGTAATAAACTAAAATTAGTTTTTAATTAATTAAATTATCATTACTACGTTTTTTGCATAAGGATATTTTTGTTTTAAAATAAATATATGCGTTTTAGTCACATCAGCACCACTTGTTTTCACTGGTTTCATTTAAGCAGTTTTGCTCATTAAGACCGCTAAGGAGAATAATTTACTATACAAAGAGCTTTGATATAAATGAGCCCATTATCAATAAATAAACTGATGTAAGGAGACAAGTGTCGAATGCAACATTTAAAAATAAATTTAACAGGAAGGAAATGATCAAAATTTTAAATATCGGTCATCTGAATATACATATGACAGATATATTATGCATTTTTTCATATAAAAATATATAAAATGTAAAAAAGAAAGCTATTTTACATGCATAAATCTGCTTATGCCAATGGAAACGAACAATTCTTATATCATTAATATATGTAGTTTTAGTTGCAGTGGAAACATGATATAAAAAACAAAGCTTTTACCTATAATCCCTCTCTAATAATAGACCGCAAATATTTCATTAAAAACAATAAGTTAGTTTTTGAGCACAAACATATTGCATTAATATACATGTGTGTATAGATATATACTTCTACTAATTTTTATTTAAAATTTTTTTTTCAATATTACATTTTTATTAATTCTCTATGAAGGGTATTAAAGTTTCGGCAAAGCTTATAACATTTTTACTTGTTTTACTAAATATAATAATTTTCGTTATGCCAGACTATCCACAAATTCAAGACTACTGATTAACCAATATAGTATGTCGTTTATTTTCCAAAAAAACAAAAAAAATGCATTATATTTCATTCTTGTTTTATTTATTTTTTGATAAACTTACTGAGAACGTTACAAGCAGATAAGAAAAAAGTAATGTCTGACATATCAGTACATATATGTGCATTTAATTAAAGTTTAAATAAAAGATAATTGTGTGTTGACAACAGATAAGAAAGTGCGGTTTGCAAGAGGAAATTATTATCGCTTTTCCCACCTATTGAGCAAATTTCGCCAGGTTTTGTAATATAGTAATTATATTTTAAAATAATCTAATAATGAATATATTATTTTCATTAATAAATTCAATATTTATATAGTCTTGTAGTCCTTTCCCAGCTTCTTTTATCTCTAGATAACTTATGGGTTTCTTAACGGCAGGACAAAAGGATCCGATAATACGCGGATTCCAGTAATTCCGCGTATTATCGTTTATTTAAGTTCAAAACCAACGCTATTTTAGTTCCATTCATCTTAAAGGCGTTATAGTATGTTTCCACTGGCTTCGTTAGGTGAGTTAATTTACTTAAGATTGCTTGAATTACTTAAGTCTCAAATAAGTTAACTGATCTAACGAAGCCAGTGGAGACGTACTATTGGTCTCTATAATTTGAATTACAAAAGAATTTAGAGTTCGAACTGCTGTAATTGAAAACTTTTCTAGCTCCTCAAAATTCTTCGTTCATTTGGAAGGCTTTAGCATCTACAATTCAAAAATTCGAAATTTCTGTCTAATTCAAATAACTTATTTTTATTAGTATTGAGGAAAAACGTAATCAAATATATACTAAATCTCTTTTTTTATTTTTTTTTGTACGTACATCTTCGTCAACTTAAACAATTTGAAATTTAAAAACTACTAAAAACTAGTAAAAACTACTAAAATTTAAATCTTGAAGATGTTAAAATCTTGAATAAGACTATGTAAAACTAAGAACTGTAACAGTTATTAATTAAAAAAAAACAATTAATAAGTTGTATCATGCGATTTTTAAAAAAAACAAAAAATAGTAATTAATTTTGTGTTGTAATATATTTTTCAAAAATTATTATTATTATTTGCCTTTTACTATACTTTTCTACATACAAATAACTCATAAAATTATTATTATTATTTGCCTTTTACTATACTTTTCTACATACAAATAACTCATAAAATTATTATTATTATTTGCTTTTTACTATACTTTTCTACATAACAATAACTCATATACTCTGCTTTTCATTTTAATACTGAAAAATAATTGTTATTATTTGCCTTTTATTATATTTATACATGTACAAATAACTCATAAACTCTGCATTTTATTTTAATACTGAAAAATAATTATTATTATTTGCCTTTTACTATACTTTTCCACGTACAAATAACTCATATACTCTGCTTTTCATTTTAATATTGAAAAATAATTATTATTCTTGCATTAATATTAAAAAAACTCAAAAATAATTATTTTTTTAAGTTTTATTGTAAAAGGCAAATAAATATCAAGTATGCATTATAAGAAAAATGAAAGTTGTTAGAATGATAACTATATACTTAAATAAGAATTTAGACAACCTTTTGCTGCTGCTCTTTTTCTTAAAACAAACAGAATAGTATTGAAACTTAACAATTAAAAATAAAAATATGATTAATTAATTCAATTAATTTACAGCTGGTTTATGATTTCATTCTAATATAAACAGAACAATTGAATTTGTTATAACTTTCACAGCAAATTAACAAACACTCCAGAAAAATGTGCGCTGACTCTAAGCTTCAAATTGGGCAGGGCACGAGTTCAATCCCAGGTACTTGCAGTCTCAATAAATCATTTACGAATAATTTAATACAAGAATTATTTCCAAGACCACTGATGATGGGTATGAACAGCTGTATGGTCAGCCAAAAATTCAATTATTTCAATATAAAAAGAATTTTTGTTGTTGTAGTTCAATACTGTTCGAAGAATCCCTTTAAAATGTTTGAAATAACTATGATTTGCGGTCCCTGTTTAATATCCTTCAATGTTAAAATACAGAGTATGTATTCATATGTTAATATATACAAATATTAATTAGACTTTGTATTGAAAGAACGAAAGGCCTACGGTATCTTCTCTTTAATAGGTATGTACTGAAATTAACTCACCGACGAAAGCACAACTTCCGTGAAATTTTTTTTTGAATTTTCAAATAAATAAAGATTATAATCAAAGTATATATAAATGTGCAATTATTTATATTCAAACACATATTGTTTCACGAACTGCTTAGACACATGAAAGTAAATCACAGGTGAATCACCTGAGTTGGCCTACATCATACGTACAACGAAACTGTTAGAAAAAGTGGGCCAAGCAAAAGTGTTTGTGCTGAAGGCAAAGAATAGAGTATCCACCACTTAAGACGTGTTGGGGATTATATACAGCGAGGTCAACAAACGTTGCCTTGTAATTAATATTAATATAAGTATAGCATGTCAGTTTTTTTTTTACGTAATTCCCACAAACATAACATAACATATATGTTACTGCAAAAATGTATTAAATGTTAAGATATCAAGTGCCTCAATGCTTTATCTTAGCAATTTATTTAGGGTGTGTTTCACTTATTTATTTATTTATGTATTCTTTATTATTTGAAGAACATTTTCCAGTTCATACACCCGCTAACTCTAATAAAGCATGCAGTCATTAAGAAATGAATAATTATTTCCTATTCCATGCACACGAAAAAGCTGCTATTTTAATTTTGTCCACTTTTAATCCAAAGATTTTGAAATGTAAATAATAAATTCTAAAAATAAATAATTATTCTACAGAGCGCACAGCACATTCGGGCAACACCTTAGAGATCAACACTCCGAAGAGAAGACGAATTACTCGATTTTAATCACTCGAATTTTCTTTGAATTCTTTGAAAAGTTACGCGCGGGTTGGGTGGTAAGTCAGCAATGTTTAAAAGTAAAAGCGTTTTATAATGACGTGGTGGGGTTGTGGGAGGTTTAACTTTTATTTGTACTCACTTGCCACGAAATCCAGCTGTTCCGTATTCAATTCTAGCCGTGGTTTTTTTTGGGTACATTTCCCTTGCGAAGGCGTAAACGGTACGTAAATTAATAGACATTTCGATTGTTTTCACTTTTATTTATAACTTTTGAATTGAAAACCCCTTAACTGAATTATTTAATTTGCCACACGAACAGCTTTTGAAACCGGGTGAGCAACTATTCAAATATTTGGAACCAGTTTCCCCAATTATTCATTTAAAATTGCACTTTATGCTTGGCCTTTCGTTTTCAATTTAACCAAACCGCGGACAAGTTTACAATGGAACTCAACGCACTTAAAATGTATGAATAATATGTGAAACGACAGAACCAAAAAAAGTAAACTAATTTATGTGTACGACAGCCACTCCAGCAATGCGGCAGTTACCAAAACAGCTGAAACGAATAAGACAAAAGAGAAACCAAAAACCAACTGGGTTGCCCAATGCGCAAAATGAGCACATTAATGAAATCCATTAGGGGTATTTAGGATGTCTGTGCATCATTGAATGTGCATCATTGCAAACTCAAATTATCGTGAACACACTTTGTGCATATTAGTCTTGAAAATATTTAGAACAGCTGATTTTTGTTTACGTATTTATTTGCTTGTAAAATATAACTCAGATTCGATATGCATAATTTCAATAAATGCCAAGAACAAGTGAAAAGCAGACATTGTTGGACGTAAAGTAAATAAAAAATCAAACAATTGCACAAAATCATAAAATTACAAAATAACAAAATCAAAACAAATGTAACAGTTTCGCTGAAATATTGCTCAGCGAACAGTAAAAAACGTAGTATCATTCACAATAGAGTCTTGAAAATCAAATATGCAAGAGATAATTGGTGTTGAAAATATGGTCTTGAATATTGTCTTGCAAATCAAGTGGAGAATTATAAGTTTTTATAAAATCAAATAAGTTTGCACATGCAACAATGCACAGACATCCTGAATACTCCTATTAAAACGATAAAGTAATAAATGAATGGATATGTTGCTAGTTGTTACAACGTATTTGCTCTTTGTCGGACAGTCAGTTTGCCGTTTGCTTTGTATGTTCTCTTTCATAACCAGATCAATTGTAGCTTAGAGCCATGTTATGTAGAGTGTCTCGGCCACGGCATGAGTAAAATTGGTATTGTTTTCAATACAAATTATAAAATTGAGATTGAGAGAAAAAACGATATGTTGGTTCAAATTCCGGCATGAGAGCTGGCATAGTTGTGCCTCGGTACTTAGGCAAAGCAGAGTTGTTTACTTTAAATTACAGAATTTGCACCTTTTAGGAGTAAATTACTACAATTTCAATACGTTTTGGATAATTATTACATTTACTGTATAATTTTGTAAGTACTGTTAACAATTATTATAAGATAATATAATAATAAATTAACATTATTACAGTCTCTATGAATATTTTCTTCATGGTTATTTTTGGTCGTACATTGAATGAGCATATCCACATTTCCTTTTAAATTTAGTCACAACCAAAAAGTACTGATGTAATAGTTAACATAACAAGCAATTTCGGCATAGCCCGAAAGAGCTAATTTTGTCGTTCCCGAGACGCTATACATAACATGTCCCTAAACAAACAGTAAACTACAGTCAAAATTGCTATAACGAAGTAGTTGGTACCTGCAAAAAACTCGTTATACTATGTTCAGACATCTAAATTTCCTTAATTCTGTAAAAATGAAATTAAGTTAATGTCGAAAGTTTTCATACTGCCCCAAATTAAGGAAATCACAGGTATATGAATTATTATTTTTCACTCTGTTTTAAATTAATTAATTTAATAACAGTTACAGTTCTTTCTCCATATTTAAATTTAAAAATTTGGACTACTTTTAAAATTTTTTCGGGTTTTATTAAAGCCATCTGTCACTTACATTTTTTTTAAAACAGTTGGTAAAACATACATAACATTTTTTTTTAAAACTCACTGTTTCGTTATCTCAACTTTATCTTTTGTTTAAAATTTATCTTACGCATATTTGCATTTGAAAAGTCCCTTAATTTCAGCCTTCGTTTCAACGAAATTAAGGTCATTTTCCTTAATTTCCTTCTAACCTCAAAACGGAATTTTGTATGGAAAAAACAACTTAATTTCGCTGAAACGAAGATGAAATTAAGATATTTTGCGAAATTAAGGTGCGTCTGTACGTAGTATTATAGAGAGGTTAAACCAATTTTCTTTTGTTGGGCTTTTTTTATACATTTACTGGGAATTATGTACGTATTTACTTTAAATATATATTTAATTCATGTTTATTTATATAAGCATACATAACATTAAAAACATTAATCATATATTAGATTGTATTTAAAAAAAAAGCTATCTTTATTAATTATTATTTAATTTATTATTATATATAACTTAAATTTTTATAATTTGTTATTTTATTTAACTCAAGGCGGTTTTTTTTTTATTTGTTTGGACATTTTAACCTTTTCCTTGTCAAGAAACAGTTCCAACAAGTTCATAGAAACTGAATAACTTATCCACAAGTTCATATCGATTATGATACAGGTTGCAAAGAAGTTTATCATAAGTTAAAACGTGTTAAGTGAGTATTTAACTTGCATTTGAATAAATTCTTTATGGAGAGGTTTTTTTGTATGCAAAGTTTTATTTACATACCTGAAAAAGCTTCGTTATAGAGAGGAATTTGATATAGAAAGATTCACTATAGAGAGGTTTGCTGTAAATAAAGTCCAAAACACCTTAAAAATGTTTTAGTGTTTGAGTTCATGAACATAAATTTCTACGGCAGACATGGCTTCAGTCATAATTGCAGTGTAAAGGTTGAATTAATTGTCGTACACGTAGCAAATGTAAAGAACAGAACGGAAAAAAGGTACAGATGTGCAGTACAATAAACTCTTGCAGAACTTGTGCTGATGACACTGAATGTTGTTAAATGCACCGCTAATATCAAACTTTTTTAAACAGGGAATTGGAAACAGGGAATGGAACTGATGTCACTACATTGGTGGCAGTAATTAGTTACTTCTGCTCTATTGATATGCAGCTGGCAAAAATGTGCGAACGGGATTCATACCAAAGTTTTGTTTGTGATTTAAGCTGTCTCGTGTGAATCTAGTATTACTGTTTATGCTGATTCAGTTATGACCATCATAATCAAGTTGAATACAGCATTCTTTATTTACTTGATGATCAATGTTGCGATTATGAGTTATTTTATAGAAATCGACTCAGATATGACAAACACCACCATACTTATCACAAGAAAGCAAGTTTTCACATAACTGGCATGGATTCGTTAGCTTCTGCTGTACACTTTCAGTTTAGTTTTAGTCAAGTCAACAAACAAAATGGTCCTAGTTTTCAATGCAAAACAGTCTAGATAGTGTAGACTGTGGACACAGTGTGAAGTCAAATATTTTCGAAGGACTATAAACCTTATTACAAAAAGATAATAAAAATATGATATGAATATGATTTTATAACATCACCAGTATCCAATTCAAATAATTCAGTACAACATTATTGAAGTAAACAATTTTAATCTATATAGAAAGCAAATAATATAGTTAAAGCGTAAAAACTTAAAAGTTATTGTAATTTCAACATATTAAAACAAAACAAGCTAATTATTTTTAATTTTTAAAGTCAAGAAACCATATCTCTTTTTTGAAACCATTGCTGTTTTGAACAGTAGTAAATCACAACAATAAAATTGTATTATTTAATTGAATTTTTGGCTGACCGTACCGCTGTTTCGTGTATTGCTAAATAACCATCATCTGTGGTCTTTGAATAATTTTTTCGAGTTCGTATGATTAGCTAAGTAATATGGCGTTTACACTGGCTGAAAATGGCTCATTCTGAATGAGTCATTTGAAAGTGTTTACATTCGTTGTATTTCATTTTTTCTCATTTCAAACAGCTGATTTTTCAACTTGCATGTTGATTTAATTTTTGGTCTGTGCCAAAAAAATGTTACAGGAAGGTTAAATATACCTTCAAACCTTACAATATAAACTGAAAACTTGTTTCTAGATTCGATTTATTTATTTTTGGGAAGTAGAAGTTCCAAAAATTGGTGCATCGTTTTAAAGAAAATGCAACCACTAAACATTTGTTTATATTTTTTTGTAAATATGTCAAAGCAGCTTTTTCAAACTGTCAAAATGCCATGAAGAGCTTTCATTTAGGGTATGTTCAATAGATTCCTTTGCATTTGGAACATATGTGGAATGCATTCGAACGTCTTTCGTACAGAATGTGAGAAAATTGCTCATTTTTGTGCTTGAAATTTTATATGCAAGAATGAGCCATTCGATACTCATTTTCAATTTTTGACCAAAATGAGCCATTTTCTGCCAATGTAAACGCCATATAACCCAAAGCCTTGACTTGTATGTATTTTTTTGTATAAAACAAAACCAATTATAATATATATAAAATCAATAACAAAACTTTAATGAAAATTAAAAACAGATATTTTTCGAAGAACCATTGCATCTGGACACATAATTAATTTACTTTTCCCAACACATTGGCAACCCTTAAATCTACCGTTTGTTATCAGCACACCTTATCGCTTGCTTATTCGTCAGCCGGCTGACTTAATTAGGTGGAAAATTGCAATATTCCTTTAATTTATTTTCAAAATTTATTTAATTTATTAAGATGTCTGAATTGAAACGTGATGAAATTTTACTTTTATTTGATGTTGATGGCACATTGACACCACCCCGTAATACTGTGCTTCCAGATTTTGAAGAATTTTTTTACAAGCACATAAAACCGAGAGCAACAATTGGCATTGTGGGTGGCTCGGATTTAGAGAAAATGTTTGAGCAATTGAACGGGCGTAAGATTCTCGATGAGTTCGACTTTATATTTCCCGAAAATGGACTTGTCCAAATTGAAAACGGACAAGAAGTTGGCAAACAAAATATAATAAAGCATCTTGGTGAAGAGACACTTCAACGTTTCATTAATTTTGTACTAAAATATTTATCGGAATTAGCAGTGCCAATTAAACGTGGCACTTTTATTGAATTCCGAAACGGCATGTTAAATGTATGTCCCATAGGACGGCAATGCACACGTGAAGAGCGCAATATGTTTGCTGCATATGATCAGCAACATCAGATACGTGCCAAAATGATTGATGATCTTAAACGCGAGTTCCATGATGTCGATTTGACATACAGTATTGGCGGACAAATCAGTTTCGATGTTTTCCCCAATGGTTGGGATAAAACTTATTCGTTAAGATATATTGAAGCGCATTATAAGTTTAAAGAGATTCACTTCTTCGGTGATAAAACCGAGAAAGGTGGAAATGATTTTGAAATTTATTCAGACCCAAGAACTATAGGACATAAAGTGGAAAGTCCGCATGATACACGTCGCATATTGACAGAAATTTTCGAATTGTAAATTATATGCATTACCAAAGTATTTGATCGCATTTTAAAAGTAATTTACATTCCTATTTGCAAATTAATTCACTATTTGTAATTATGTGTCGGTTTTGTAATATACAATAAATATAAAGTGTACAGTAATTTTTATTAAATTGTAATCCACATACGCGTGTATAAATTGTTTTGAAATTGACTAATCGGTTTCCATTTCTGAATCTTCATCGTCATCCTCTTCGTCCTCACTATCATCTGTATCTGAACTACTACCATCACTATCAATCCAGTCATGCACATTCATATCATTGGCAATAAGGACCTTCCATTCATTTGCTTTATGTAGATCGAGCGCATAGAAATCATTGTAAGTAAATTGTTTGTTATCCTCTTCAAAAATTCCTCCAAATACATAAAGTACACCTTTACAGACACAAAGACCAGGATTCATACGTGGTGATGGTTCAAATTTAGATGGACGATTTGGAAATAGACTTGGCATATTGGGTACAGGTTGCGATAAGCTAGGACCTGCCACTGTTACTGTAAAAATGCCATCACTGGTAACTGTTGGTGTTTTGCTTACATCTTTAGATTCATTCATCTCTACGTCACTCGCAGTATTGGTTTTACTTGTTTTTGATTTTTTTGCAACTTCTACAGTGCGCCATGCTTGGCTCGATAAGTCTAAAGCTAGTAATTCATCACCAAACTGACCTCGCACGTCTTCTTCATCTTCATCAACATCCATAACTCCACCGAAACAATAGACTTTGCCATTTGGTGCAGACGTACAACCTACGCTACTTCGTGGCAATGGTTTATAACCACTTGCTTTGGTTGTATTCCATTTAAATTTATCATTTGGGCTATTTTCTAAAAAATTATGTTTGAAAGCTGTTTTTTTTGGTCATAAGGAAAAATTCATACTTACTATCTGGAACTAAAGCAAACATATCAGTGTGCGTAACACCACGATCAACTTTCTTGACTTGTGACTTTGAATAGCCGCCCCATATAAGTATTTTACCGTCTGGGCAAGCAGCCATACAACAACCCGAACGTTGTTGTGGTACTATTGCACCAGTGACTTCAATTTTGAGCCAAGCGTAAGTTTGCAAACAGAACATATGCACATCATTATAGTAGTGATACGATTGATTATTATCGTGGAAGCCACCAAAGACTATAAGACGTTTTTTCGCAGCCACCATACGATGACCACTACGTGCACTGGGCCCGTTGGGTGCAGTGATTTTTTCCCATTTACGTGTTTTCAGACTCATAACCCAAAGGTCTTTATAGTGATAAAATTGTAATTGCGACGGACTTGCATGTTCACCACCAAAAAGCTGTAAATGGAGAAAAATCAGTATTTCAATTTGAATATAAACAACATGAATACAAACCCACAACTGACCGCCGTCTGTGGCAATTGATACCATTTGATGACCGCTTCGTGGTGGTGGTCCGCAAGGTGAGCGAACTTGTTTCCATTCGTTTTTTGTTATATTATAGATGTAAAGATCATTGTAAACACACACTTTTTGTCCATTAAAAAATTCACCGCCAAACAATATAAGCTCCTCTTTTTCTGGATGAGCCACTATTGTAAAGTTGGAGCGTGGAGTGGGTGGAGCACATATCACTTCTGTAACTTCTTTTAATCGCAACTCTTCTGCTTCTAATTTTGCAACAACTTCTGCAATGTCAGTCTGCAAGAATTGTTTATATATGTATTCTCGAAACAAAAAAAACCTGTGGTTACTTACTTCACCAAGTTTCTCCAGCATGCGTTTCTGTTTGGCCGCAAGTTTTTTGTCTGTTTTCATAGCGGTTTTTTCAGCACCTTTGCCTTTTTTCTTATTCTTGTCTTTCTTGCCCATTTTTAAAACAAATAATTTATCTAAAATAAAGCGGCTTGTGAATTAATAATTAAAAACAATTGTACTGTCAAAATCTTCACGTGTATGTAACAGTGTTGAGAAGTAATTTAATTACCAATAGCGTATCTTCCACTGGTTTTTGTCTAAGCTAAGCAGAAAACAAAAGCAAGTGTTTGTGAACGTTTTATTTTTGTTTATTTACATTGCAACTTGTTTTACCTTTAAACACATGAATACAGTTATTTCTAAGTTACGTTGGAGTTGTGACTTTGTGTCCCAGAAATATTCCCAAGAGAACTACAGTGTTCAGCATACGAGCAACGCTAAAACTCATGTTAAAAAGAGAGCCATAACCTAAACTCATTAAAGGTTAGACCTAGTTCCGTAACATATTTTTCTGGTGTGCAGTGACGCGTCAACACCGGACTGGTATATTTCTCGTTCAGTTTAGGCTAAGTTGATCCGGACACCTGACAGGAGAGCTCATCTGTCTAAGTTTGCTTTGCTTTACTCAGATATGCTAGTTTGATTGCTAGCTTGGCCGTTGCAGGAGGGAAACTTAAATTTTTATAATGCTTAATTAATTTTATATTGCTTAATTAATTTTATATTGCTTAATTAAATATTTCGAAAATCTGTCATACATTAACGAAGTCTATCAGCAAAACTTTGGGAATATAATGTCTCCTTGACCTGGATGTAGATATGTTTTAAAAATTTTAAGTCAATAAAGAATCTACAAATCTTTTGGTACTGGAATCTGTGTTTCGATAGTGCTTTGTATATATAGTATATGAAGTGCCATGCTATGCAGACATAATAATTTATATTACCTCAAATGCAAAATTGTCTTTGTTTTTGTATGGATATGTGAGTATGTCTAAACAAAAATGTTCAAATTTGCTCTTTAAAGGTACATTTTTTTGTCATTTATTGCTGAACAACACGTTTTGATCAACATGACGACACACAGATCACAGTTTATTAGAAATTTCTCTCTTATAATACATTCACACTGTCTCATTTAGGCTCTTGCTCATTTATATTAATGAGTGAACGTTCACATTATAATGAGCTCATTTATGCAGCTGAAATAACTTTTATAAACTTCATTTAATAATATATAACACAAAAAAATTAAATATATAATTGATATATTCAATCATTTATATACTTTATGTATATAAATTACATATTTACTTAATAAAAATTTCAAATGTAAAATAACAATTTTACATTTGAAGTGATCATGACTGTGTGGTCTTAACATGGCCCTAAGCTCCATGTTCCATTTTTCTATTATTTGTTAAAATAATAATTTCATTTTTATTATGTTATGATAAACAAATCAAATTGTATCTTTGTGATTGGGAGTTTTTTTTTTTTTTGGAAGTTTTCTGACTTTCTTTCGGCATCGTGCCTCTCGTTAATTATAAAAATCGACAACCTATTCAATAGACTACATTTTTCTATAATACACAGTCTCCTTCTGTTAGATGTACACTAGCTTAATAGTGTACATCATGTAGGTTTTATATTAATAATAATTCTAATGATAGCTTTGTTAAAACCTTAATAATTTATCAAGATATGTTTTTTTTTTCTATTTCAGACATCGTATTTAACAAAAACATCGACGATATTCTATATGTACATTCAAATGAATAATAAAAAGTCTTTCATATGTCTAATTTAGGATTTGAAGTTATGTGGTAAGTACATTACATCCTATTCTTAATATGCATGAGAATAATTAAAACAATCAACCCTAAATAAACGATAAAACAATAATTTTATATACTAAATAATAATTATTAAGTATTATTAATGAGAATTTTTGAATTATTAATTATTACTGCTACTGCTACTGATTTCCTAAACTCCTTCTAGAGTATAAGGTCTTCACCATTGACTTTAATCGTATTCTGTTAGGAGCTGTTCAGGTGACATCATTTCAAGTAAATTCGTCATCTCTTAATTCTTTTTCAAGTGTTCTCCGTCAAATTTTTGGTGATGCATCGGGTCGCCGACTACTTTGTGGGTTCCATCGCAATGCTTGCCTTTCTATACTTCTTGCGGGTCGTCGAAACGTCTGACCGATACAGAATAATTTGCGTTTGTTATCTCCGTTGTAACTAGGGGTTGATTTGTTCTCTCCCATAATTCGGTTTTCGATATTCTTCCTGGCCTGCGGATTTTGACAATTCGACAGAGACACTTGTTGACAAACACTTGCAGCTTGTTTTGCATTTTCTTTGAACTTTTCCATGTTTTACATGCGTAGAAAAGTACTGACTTGACATTTGAGTTAAACGCGCGAAGCTTTGTTTTTAAAGAAACTTGGCTGAAGCTCCATATCTTGTTGGTTAAAAGCTATCCTCATTTGGAAACACACTTAAAACCATTTTCGTCAGCTTCTCTTTTGTCCGTAATAATGTATCCTAAATATGCAGTGCTTTGAACGCATTCTACGATACTGTTACCACCCGATATAGCTTCTGGAGAAGAGATCTCTCTGTTATAGTCATTTTGCTAAAGTTTTCTTGACGTTGATGCTTAGCCCAGTTATGTTTGCATTCATGTTTAATTCTTTAACTTTATATTGCAAATCGGATGGTCGATGCGTTAAGAGACACAGATCGTCTGCGTATTTCAGGTCTTCAAACAGCGATCACTCTATGCCTTGTCTACCATCCGTAGTGTTTTTTTTAATTTCATCCAATATCAGTATTAAATTATTTTTCAATAATAATAATTGATGAAAAGACACCCGAATACCTGTTGTTTCCATGTCCAAACTTGTCTAGAACCAGATTTAAGCTTTTGCGCGCCCCATTCTACAACACTTATTTCCAGCATTAGCATTGGTTAGCTACTTACTTTTATCAATGCATCCGTAATATTGGGTAAAATACCATTACGAGGAATGTGGAATGAAAACATTTTTCTTAGGTAATTGATGAAAATTCATTCCTCTTTCCACTCAGCCTAACCTAACCTAATTTTATTCTATCTGTACTTTTTAAAGTTCTGAAAAACGTATTGAAACAATGTTTATTTGTTTTTTCTTATACTTTTATTGTAGACTTATTCCAGTTAATTTTCATATATCCAAGTATCTATATCCTCGTACCATTAGCAGAAAACTGTCATCATATATACAGGGCAGTTTGTATTATAGTATGCCTTATTTACCCTATATACCTTATATACCTTATATAATACCTTATATAATACCTAATACATATACCTTATATAAATTAAGGTGATTTTTTGGTCGAAAAACTGTATAAATAGAGGAAGGTACAGAGTGTCAAGAGAAACTATAAAAATAAGCAAGAAGTCTATGTAGGGCCGGTTTCACAGTTGTAACTTGAGTTTCAATACTGTCTTAAATCCTCAAGCTAATTTATGCTTCACTCAGTTTTGAGGCTTAAGATACGACTGTAAAATTGATCATTAATATCTCTAAAGCGGGTCCAAATCTCTTACAAATTTTTAGTGCATTAATATCTTTTAATTTGGTACTTATTATGTCGTTGTGCTTAAAGGGTTTTAAAAACATGATATAATACTGTATATTACTCTCTCTCTCTCTCTATCTTTCTAATATTTCTGAAGCTAAGAGTCGTTAAAAACTACTTTGGTTGGTCGTATAACGTTGAGCTTACTGTAGAGTTAGTCGATGAGACCTATTCAAACTAGCCAATCCTAGCTAGATTTAAAGCTTTTTAATATCAACGAATCATCCAACTCTATACATTTTGTCATAACTTATTGTAAATTAAGTATACAGTCTATTGTGGAACTATTTTTACGAAAATATGACTGTTCCTTTCGTTCTTTTATACCATTGCAATACCATTGGAATTTTGAGAATAAAATTTTTATAAAAGGTTTGGAAGGCGTTATCTCTCAATAGCTTTGCGGATCATGTTCCAAGTGGTATTCTTTTATTTTTTTTAATAATACTGAGAAGTTCTACAACTTTATTGTACAGGTACTCATCGCTTTGTTGTAGTATCTCATTTACAATACTATTAAGATGTGAGACTTTTCTCTTCTTTTGCATTTTTACTGACCTTTCCAATTCTTATTTTACGTTTACAGCTTTATATCTATATTTGAAATAATTTGTAGTTGTGGTAGGCCAATTTCTATATAATTTCTTATAGTATGATTTCCAGTAGTTAATATGTATTAGGTGTATTTTAACGATTTTATTCACTTTTTTTTTATTTCTTTTCTGTTTGTATTACTTTTTTTTGAGCACTACATAACGCGTTCCATTAACTTATAAAGCCTACAGGAAAAAACCTCTATTTTTCTAATTTGGTTATTAGTATACTTTCTCTTTTTTTGACTTATAAGCATATCTTCTTTTTGTCAGTTATTATATCTTTAACTAACTTTAGATCGCTCTTCAACTAAGTCATGAGTCTCAAGTAATTCCAATCACTTTCACGATTGTGAAGATAACATTTGGTACGTAGTGTAATAAAAATTGGTATTAAGGTCGTGTGCGAGTTAGGCTAAGTTGCGTTCTAAATGAGGGAAATTCTAAGTTGTGCCGATAATGTAGTGATGTGTCGATACGTGATGATAAATGGCTAAATGTGTGCAGTGCAAAAAATCCCAAAAAATCTCCCATTTGGTTTAGCATCAACTTAGCCTAACTCGCACACGTCCTAAGTAAAACTAAAAGGGTCAGCAAATATATCATAATAACTCTCTTGAACTAACACTATATGATATGTGTGAATTTCAGAATTCTTTTGATTTCTAGTGGCTATAACCGAAAACAAGGATAAATTTTGAGAAACTACCAATAGTTGTGTAAAGTTGATAACCTTTAAGAGTAACGGTACAAGAACCCAGTAGGTGTGTTTTACGTTAAAATTATCTTCAGTTGGGAAACTATTGCTAAGCGTTTGATTGCAGTCTCGTGTTTAATTGGGGTTGTAGGCCTTAGATATTATTATTGGGTCTTTCCAATCTTAAACAATTGTATTTGTAGCTTTTATGAAAATAATGCTATTCCGATTTCTATAACTGCGCTTAATGTTAGTTTGGATTAAAATACTTGAGTATATGTATCGCATAATTTAGGTCAATAGTCAGAGTATTAAAACTGTTTTTCTTGAGGATTTGGGTTTCAGAAACCAGGTCATTATCAATTTCGTTACTTTTGAAAAGTTCTTTAATTCATAAACCGTGCATTCATAAAGCCTATTTGAGTTTCATAATATGATTTTTAGGAGACTGGAAGGTTACAATTCTTAGTTTTGATTGGGGAAGAGTAAGTTCATTATTGTTGTAATTTGCTGCATTACTGGTTATTACTAGTTCTATTCTTCCATTTCATTTGTGGTTTGAAGTTGTTTCTCTGTTTTTTGGAAAAGCCGTAACTACGTTTACCGATTCGACTAAACATTTTGAGTTTTAAGCCTGTGCACTTGCACTCCAAACAAATTATAAACGGACTATAAATTAATTAAAAATTCGATTCTTTCCTAAGACTACTGATGATGAGTACTTGGCAATACTCGAAACAGAGTTGTAGAGCCAAATTTCAATAAAATTAAATAAATTTTTGTTTGTTCTTTCTTTCTTTGCTATTCGAAAACCCTCTAAAATATATAAATTAATGAGTTTATATAACAATGTAAACAAAAGCTCTCCTAAAACTTTCACAGAATTTTCTGATACACAAAACCTCTTTCACATGTATAAATCAACTTATGTCAGTGGAAACGACTAAATCTTAATATACGTAATATGAGGTGATTTCGCTGTAGTGGGACCATGGTATTAAGTTGCTTTTAACAACGTTGATGCAAACCAGAAATAACAATTTTTGTAACAAATACTATATTTCAAATTAGTATAAATTAGTTAGTAACAATATCATAGGCTGAAAAGAAAACCTAGAAGGTAAACACATAATTGTAGATTTGATTTGTTATTTGATTGCATTAAGATTGATTGTCGATCATCAGTTATCAATCGATAACCGATATTGCTTATAAAAATTGTGATTGTATAGTTGAGCTTCGTGTTAAATGAGGAGTACTTCAAAGATTGAAGATTTTTATACAAATCTACTTTGTGTAAAAAGCTTTAACTCGTCTGAAGTAGTGAAAAATTAATGGTCTAGGTTAATTATAGTTAAGTTCCTTAATTTTTTTATTGAATAGCAAGACCATTATTTTATTTTAGTTACGAGTATTATAATAAGGTCAGTAGAGAGCAGCACTTGATCGTTGTAGATGAGTCGATAACGTAATGAAGGCCTAGTCGCTATTGAAAAACGACTCGATAATATTTTCATAATGTAAATTCAAACTATAATAATAATTTTCCAAAACATTTTATTGTTATAAATTCTATGAATTTGAATACATTTTTGTATTTGTATTGTAGAAAATAATAAACAATAAAAAATAAAATCTACATAATTTATTATGAAATGTTTCAGTTTGTGAAATTCGACTTGAATTTATGAAAATCTTGAAGTTTGTAAGTTGCCACTGCTTAGAGAGCCACGACTGTTAACCGATGACCAATTAGAATCAAATCCACATGCCGAGTCCGAGTCTGAATCACCCATATTGTTTGCTGAAGCCATGCCGATTGGAGCTCGTAATTGATTTGGAGTCGTAGGCATGCTACAGTATCCCGAATAAAGATTTGAACTAGAATTAGATGATGATATAGAACCACGTGGAGAATCAGTTGTAGCACTAGATGTCACAGATGAATGTTTCGAAGATTTTTGACGTTTTTTAACAGCGGCCACACTTTTAGGTGGTGGCATTAAATCCTTAGTATACATGTTAGTGTTTTTACCATTATGTGGTATATTATCGGCAGAGCCCCAAGATTTATGAATTTTATCAAATTTACTATTACTAATCGGTACACTTGCTCTCGAGCTCAACTGTTGGTTGCTCATCCCTAATGGTGTAGTCATCGTCATTGTCTTCATCGGTTGAGTATTCCCCATTCGCAACCGTGTCATACCATTGTGAGTTTGATGAAGCTGATGACGGTGTCGGTGAGATCGCTGGTGATGGCGACTTGCTCCCGAAACTGGGCCACCGTTGGCTGCTACCATTTGAGCCATTGTATTCCCACTGCCACTGCCCACTCCCAAGAAGTTGCTGAATGCTTCTGTTGTTTTCTTCACTCGCACATTCAAAGAGCCAATCCGTAGGAAGCCCAAATCTTTTTCTATAAAATAAATAATTGAAATGTTAGAAGTTATGAAATAGTAAGTGTATATAAAAGGATATTTACCGGAATGTTTTTTCTTTGCTTTGATTTCTGTAAATAAAGAGTAAAGAAAATATAATGTGTTAGTTGGTAGTGGGGAAAAATTATATGTAAAAATGAAATTGTTGCAAAAATCTTATGCAAATCAATTAAAATGTTTAAATATAAAAATATGTCTTATATATTGTAATAGGTATGCAATGTAGTACAAAAACAAAAAAAAAACATGCTTGTAAAATGCAAAACGGAAACAAGATCCTTTTTGAAATAAAAAGACTTACCCCCAGAAACAATATTTTTGCAGTAATCAAAGCAGTAATCAAAATTCTATTAAAAAAGTTAAGTTTTTTAAAAAAGCAAACATTCTTAAGAATTTCGTCCTTGGAGAATATAAAAAAAAATATTTTCGCTAGTTTCAAAAATTTAAAAAAAAACAGAAAAGATTTTAAAAAGCAACTGCAATATTTATTAATATATTCTTAAAATTTATAATATTAATAAAATAAACAAAATGTATATAAAAATATAAAAACAACAGCGTTTAACGTTCAAAGTGTTTGGGTAAATATTGCAGCAACATCTAAACGTTTTATATTGTTAACTTGCCTCCATGTTGTTGATCCGTTGCTCAGAAGTTGTAGACGCATCGCTTGAATTTCTAGAATTCGTTCCACGTTAAGATTTAGAGAATAGAATAAGAGTAAATGAAGAATTTCATAGTGAATATTGGGTATGTCTAGTCTTTGTTTTGGAATGATTGTAATGTTCTTATAGGTATGAATTATTATTGGATTGATTATATATGGCATGCTCCAAGCACGAGTAACAAATGCTGAAATCGTTTCATTTCTGGATGTAGTTTAAACAGGCTGATGGAGGTCCACATTAGTTTATATTAGATAATGACTTCTAGCCTTTTATATTAATCAATTATATTTTTATAAATTTTTTATTGCGGTCTTTGGGTAGCAAAATGAAGTCAGTAAGATAATCAGAGCATAACCCATCAGAGTATTAACTGATGGTGGTAATATATACATGCATTAATAATAAAATAGTTATAAACTTAAATATATCCATAGAATATGTAATGTATTAATTAATCTATACAAATGCTATAAACACTGAAAAGAGTTTCTTTCTGTCAAGTAAAAACTTTTTAAAAGTCATTTTTATGATCCTAGCATTCGAAGTTTAAAAAATTTTGAGTTAAAAATATGAATGACTTTTATGCTTATGATAACATTATTATTTGTTTTAAAGGATTTTATGTTATTTTATGTTATTTTAAAGGATTTTAAATATTACCACAAACTCATTGTAAAAGAGAATTTTAGATTTATGAAGCACTATTACTGTACAATAATGAAGAATGTTGTTAACATTATGGTAAACGATTACGTACACAAATCCAACCCCAGTTGATCTGTGGTTTCGTTCTCCTCGCAACTGCTCCAAATCTTGACATGAATTTGATTTAATCTCTCCATTGCCTCTTTACCTCATTATCTTACACAAAATTATCGCAAATCTTATCATTTATTCTCTTTTCACACCATTCAGACTCTTTTAAGTTGGTATGTCAAGTGTAGTTTTTACTTCTTTAATCCTCTACATAAGTGGAGCTCTATGATGAAAATAAACACTATCTATATAGTGTTAGATTCAATAACAAGGATAATTATGTAGTGTGTACTAAAAATAAGACATAAGTAATTTGTAATTCGAGATATATTATGGACTAAAGGAAAACTGCTACTCTTCACGATCATCAGTACTCAGCACTGCAAATTTTGCCACATTTTTAGTGAAAAATACATTCAACTGCATGATGTGATATCATCGTTCGTTTATGTGCATTATACAATATAACCTAATGTGTCAAACAGTCTTAGTTTTAGTGTCGTTTCAAAATCGTGTTTCAAGACCATCTGTGACATGATCAATCGTATTTACAGTCTCTCAATATTGATTGCTCTATGTTTTAATTTTACACTTGCTTTTGATAACTGATTTGAGAGAAGAAGTTTCATACGCTCCTATAACATCTTTAGTCCATCGAAATTTAGTTACTTTTATAAGTGCTGCTAAGTAAAAATGTATGCATAGTCTTTCATGACTTTATCATTGCAGTCGATAACGTTAACTAAGGAAGCCAGAAGGAGGCTACATTTGGGCTCTGTTTTATTATAAAATGTTACTTCCATTACTCTTTTATTAAGGGGAAGATGGTTATCATCCTTACTGTTATTGAACACTATTGATGAAGTTCTTTAATGATTTCATAATAACATATACCATCTTATTGGATGAATTGAACATTTTAATTTTCGATTGATGAAGAGTTTTGGGTTCAATTACTATCATTCTTTTTTCGAAAAGGGCGTGGGTTGCGATTTAACAATGATTCCTTTTTATTTTTTAAAATAAAGAAAAGAGGTCGTCAAAGCAATATGAAAATTCTATGGGTACCATAGTGCGAGTTATGTTAAGAAAAATTAAAAGAAACCGCCATGAGTATAATACACTTCTAAGGCTCAATAACAGAAAAACCAATAATAGATCAATGTAAATTGATCTAACATTTTTATAGTAACTTAAGGTCGATCTTCTGCAATGTGTTGAGTATATTTAGTAGCTCACTATTCTAACAATGCATATTTAAAAAAAACGTAAATATTTAATATTTTCACAAATTTAAATATGTTAAGTTGTATTAATCTTTTTAGTGAACAAAGAAAACCGAGAAACTATGGACTGACAGAGAAAATATTGACTGTTTTTTTGGTAGAAAAATGAACTAAATGTAGTTAAGGTAGAAAATACCTATATAATGAAGTTGCAAATATTTTTTGAGTCATTCGAAGCTTCGAGCATTTTGATATTCACGTAACCTTATTCTCGAGCACTTGGCAACTCAAATTTATTCGAATACTATATGCTTTCGAGTACATACTATTATAACATACTATAAAACGAAAAAAACATTTAAACATTGAGAAAATAATTTTTCTAGATAAGCTCGAACAGATTTAAACAGCTTGAACGTTTTAGAAGTCCCTTAAACTGACTTAGACATAATATAAGTCAGCAGTGTGGTTGATGGTTTAAGTCTGAATTGAAACTTAAGTTACGACTGTAACTTAACCTTGTAATGCCAGATTTTTTATTTGTAAAAATATTTATATTGCTCAACATGCAGTGAATTATTAGATCACACAGTTATAGATATGAATAGGAACAGAGTAGTGCAATATTTGGAATTTGTTAACAGATCTGACCCTTCATCTAGCTCCTCACATTAACAAAAAATATTAAAAACATAACCAAATAAACTTTTGTTAGCCATTTATATAAAGTCCGCCTTGAGGCGGTGTTGAGTATTAGAAGGTTAGCCTCTCAGAAAGTTCAATTAAGATGCCCGAATTGGAGTACCTCGAGCTGCTCAAAGATTTTGAAGTGTGTATATAATGTGAGTTGAATATGATTCAATGATGTCAGAGCTCTCAATATGAGTTCAAGTCTTGAAATGTTGAGAAACTGCAAGACATGATATTTTACCGATCAAATGATGACTTTTGAACATTTGATTTGTTTTTCTATGCTCTTTCAAATGTGTCTATAATATGTAATGAATATGAGACTATAATATTATATGAAAATATAATATAAAGCAAATATAAGATTTTGCTTTGAGTTCACGATAAAGACGTAAGAGTAGAAATTAAGTGCGAAGTATCACACTGCATCCTCAGCCGTGGCCATCGTACCCCATTTAACACCTATATAAAAATTATTATTGCATCTAAAAACATAGAACTTGTCAGTATAGGAGAATTGCTTACATTTTGTTATATGATTAGATACATCGCTAGGTTCCTGCTGAATACAATTAATGTTAAAGTAGACATTTCTAAACTTTTTAACCACTTAAAAAGTTTTAAAAATTTTGTAAATACATATAAACTGATATTATATTATCTATTATTAAATATAAAGTGTTCGGTGTATAGTGCAAACTACTATTTACTCAGATTTAGAAGATTTTATAAAGCTCCTTTAAAAAAATTATATTATTGAGGGTAGATTGTTAATTATATTTGTACCCTAATTTTACTATAATTTCATTTAAAGAACTATGAACAAAGTACAACATAAAATAATACATAAAAAGCAAATATTTAATATATATTTAGTATAATTTAAAATCATAAAGTTAATTCAATCTACTAAAAAGTAATAATTCAAAATAAATTCAAATAACAAATGATTAAATCCATTTAATTATATTAATTAATATATAAAAATAATAATCTAATTATAATGTTTACATATAAGCAACTTTTAACATATATTGAAAGTAATTAATTATAAAATATATAATAAGAAATTAATGTGATATTGCATTTAGAAAATAATTTAAATGAAAATTAATTAATTGCTACAATAACAAATTAAGGCAAGCATTTATTATAAACAAAACATACAAATTAATAATTAAAATATAACAAATTTTTAGTTTATCATATTAAATTAACTGTAATAAAGTTAAAAATAATATAAAAAAATATTAATAAATAAATATCTTCAATAGCTTTCAAAGCTTTAATTTAACGGCCGTGCATTATTAAGAAATAATATTAAAGATTAATAAATTCCCAGGATGTGTGAATTGCTACAATTATTACTCCGATAACTTTTTGTTAGTAACATTTAAATCTTGATTTGGTTTATTGGAGGTGGTGGCGGCTCGAAAAGTTTTAAGCAAGAAACTTTCTTTGCGGCGGGGTGTGTTTTTCTTTTCCTTTTTTAAATTGCTACTTTGCGGTAAAGGACTAAGAGTACTAACATCCACTTCTGATTCATCCGTTTTTAGTGATGACTGTGCAATTGTGTTATTATTTTTAATGTTTGTTTTGGTAGTTGCAGAAGAGTTATTATCTGACATTGAGTCCTCATCTTGTGCAAAAAATGATGATAATGTGGGTACTTTCTTCTGACGCCGTGATACAGTCCCAGTTGTTAGTAAGGATTGTGTGCGTGTTATTGGATTTCCCGAAATTGTTGCGTATGGTATATGTGCACGTTTTTTATTGCGTGATACGCCACTGAAAGTTTTGCCACCGCCACCACTACCACCACCATTTGCATTCCACATGTCAAAGAGCCCAGTAAAGTGTTCATTATTGTAAAGTTTCTTGAAAAATATATACATATAAAAACTATTAAAATACTCACTGCTATATGTAGAATCAGACACTGTAGTACGTTGTCTACTATAATCCAATGGCTTGTTCCCGCTCCAATCCATTAAATCACGGTTGGCCTCTATATATATCAAGTAAAAAATTATATATCAAGTAAATAATTAAGTATTTAATTAAAATAGATTTCGTCACAGTATATAACATATATTTTAATATTATAAAACTTGTTAAATAAATTAAAACTACCTAACAAAACCAGTAAAAATAAGTAAATATTGACTATTCCAAAGAAACCTTTTTAAGCCAGTGGTAAATAAATAAAGAAGTTCAATTTTCACTCTGGCACTTCCAAATATATTTTTTGACATATTTTTCTTTGTGCTTAATGCACGCTTTATGATTTGCTAATTATGTATTAGCTTTAGTAAAATTCGATTCTTCCAGAATCCTGAAAATATTAATTAGTTGTTGATTTATTTTAAATTTGTGGTGAAAAAAAAATTTAGATAAAGCTAAATATGGTGAGTATAGTGGATATGGTAGCACTTCTAACTAAATTCGATTAATATTGCGGTTCTATTGCCGACGAATTTCCAGTATGACTTGGAAAACGAAAATTTTTTTCTTTGAAGTGGTATAAAAGCGTCGCTATATGCATCATAGAAAATAGAAGCAATAACGTTTCCTGCTGATGACAATATATTTTTCAAAACATATTTATCTGAATTTTAACTGCTTTAATGTTTTATCTACAGTAATATTCACACAGAAACTCTCTCGCTTAACTCCGAAATATTCCAACACTGATTGCAAAAGATCACAGGGATTGGTTTTGATCTAATGTAAGTCGATGTAACACTTATTTAGTTAATAAATTTTATTATTTATGGTAGTTTTCACTACCTGGAACGGTTTTTATCAATTGGGTTGATAACGTTACGTTTGTTGTCAGCCATCTGTTAGTGTCGTACATATTGGTTTGAGGTCCCTGTTTTGTAAACTCTATATATGTATATATTTTGTATATAAAATGAAATGATCTATTATGATTTAACTACAAAAATTTTGTAAGACCGATCTCTACATCTATCGATAACAACATTTATTAAAAAAATTAAAAAATTATGAGAGTAAGAACAGATAATACTTTTCGGTTGATTTCAGTTATATACTAAAGCTTTTGTCAACAAATTAAAAAATTATTTTCACAGTTTAATCGAACAATATCTGTAGCAAATATTCGGCATACAAATTACATAGTTGACCCAAACCCCTATTAGTAGTGCTAATGTAAGACTAAGTGCAATGCCTTTATAGTAGTAATAAACAAATATATAAACCTACTCAGTGTACACATGATACATATGATATAATTGACTTAAAACCGTGTTATAGTAGTGCAAATGTAATATTAACTGCAATACCTTTATAGTACTAATAAATAACGATATACACCTTCTCAGTGTATCATATAGATCCGAATTATCTATAAAAAATGTCAATATGTATGGGAAGAAATGACAAAATGTTTAAATTTTCATTATTTGGATTTTCTTTGTGTTTTCTGCCTTATAGCATTTATAGTCTTTGTTAAGCAGAAATAACAATAATAATATTGATTATAATATAAACAATTTCTTTCTAATAATATAATACCATATATTCTCATATAGTATTCAAACCTCCAAACCTCCAGTTGTGTACTTACTGCAGATTGATCTGCAAAAATCTTGGTTAAATTCTTCCTATTTATTTAACTCAGTATTAGGGTTTTTTTTATTGGGAACTCATGGACTAAACTAAATATAAGTAAAAATTGTAAAATCAGTGTTTCAATAGAGTTAAACCTAATTAATATTATTTTATAACATTATTGACTATTTATAAAATATCCATAAATCTTCTAGTTTGAACACAGTAACGATAATAAAGAAAATAATTACATTATTGACTTCCGAGTAAACAATATTTTATGACTAAATCAATAACAATAAAAAGGTTAAAGTAATTATGTGTCTACGATTGTATATTAATGGAGAAGAAAAGTAAATAATTGATAAAGAGAAAATTGTATGAATGTATGAGTGGTAGGAAAAAATGAAAAATCAAAGTCAATGATAATGTCAATATTGATATCAATAATTGGGCAATTAAAGGACTAACTTCTAAATAACTTCTTTGTATTGTTGTTTGTTACCCAACTGAGCAAACAATCGAACTATGGAAAGTAAATGCAAGCCCGTGCCGACAAAGAAATGGTTGGAGTCGGCATCTGCTCGCTGTTCCAACTGATATCAATAGCATAGAATGTCTGTGTTATTTCTCCCACTTATTAGCTGATAAATAAGTTTGATTGACAGGTGATAAGAACTATCAACAATGCAAATACCAAATGACACAAGTTTTTATTCTTTGATTTTTCCGAATATTGTTGTCATTCTTATTAGAGTTGTTTTTATTGTGGGACCAGTTGGGGACAGCAATTATATAAAATTAATATTTTTTTTTATTTTATATATAATATGTTGTTGTATTCTATTAGTAAATTACTTACTATAAGTGTTGCAGAGCAGCTCAAAGATATTAACACGTCCAAATTGCATTGCCAAATGTAATGGTGTATAGCCCTGAAATTTAGATTAAATTGTTAGTTCGGATTTGCAATAGTCCTGCGTTTTATATTATTAAAAATAAACTAACTTTTAATAAAAAAAAAAATATAGAATCAACTTTCTGAGCACTTAATATGTATTAAATTTATCTGTCAAATAAATTTAGATCATTAAAGTCAAACGCGATTGTGTTGTATGTAATTTGATGGAAGATCAAACAATAGTAGTACTCGCAGATAAAAAATATGATATGCAAATGTGTTTTATTTTAGTTTATATCGTTCAATTAATAGAATTGAATAATATAATATCGGAAAATGGTACATGAGGAGTATAAGCTTATTCTAAAAAAAATCACTTTGACCTTTATAATCACTGGACTAAGATCTTTAAATGAATATGTAATATATATAGAGCAATCGACTTCCAATTTAACGACTGATTTTTAGTATACATTAAATAAAGATAAGTAGCTTCGTTGTTCAGTTAAGATTTTTGAAGTTATTTTCGAAAAAAATTTAAATTTGTTTGTTTTTTGATGTTCTGTATTGATATTTTATACGATTCTCTTAGTAGGTCTTATAAAATCATGTTTTTTGTATCATCATCAGCATCATCCGTGACTATACAGTACTTGTAGGACCTAAACCTGTTTAAGAACATCCTTCCATTCTTCTCCGTTTTTTGTTTTTGTTTTCCAATTTCTTATATTAAATTCTTGGTCGCCTTCTTTTTCTGCTGGTTCCTATTTCGTTCTCATAAATCTTAAGTGGTACTCTTATATCCGGCATTCTTATCACATGTCCAAACTATCTTAATCGCTGCTTTTTCATAAATTTGTTGATTGTATCACCTTTAGCTAGCTGTTCTAGGTCGTGGTGGTATCTTATGCGATATATCCCGTTTTCTTTCACGGGGTCAAACATTTTTCTGAGTATTTTTTTTTCAAACACTGTTATCTTGCTTCGGTTTCAGTTAATCTCCATGTTTTGTACCCATATGTTACAACTGGGCGAATCAATGTTTTGTATATTTTTAGTTTTGTTATGATTTTGGTATAAGGTACATTATTTTTTGTAACCCATTGTATAGAAGTATTAAGTGATCTACAACGTTTTTACGAGCATTTTCGGTATTTTTTAAGCCAGAGAATCCCTTTGCTTAAATTTTACTCATGGCTTAGATTATTGACGAGTATGTCGGATATGTGGAAGAATAGGACTCTTTTGGCCACAGTACCGGCTATTGGGCGAATTTACGCCACTAGTTTAAAAAAAAAAGTATGTCTGATGTCGAATTGGGAAATCAAAGATCGTGCTACACCTGCTTATATCTTTTTATATTTGAAATAGTACAATTGAAATACAATTTAAAAAAAATAATAATGAAATAAAATGATTGGGTTGTGTGTGTGTATTCAAATAAATGACATACGAAGTGCTAACTTACAGCATTAAAAAATTAAATGGTAAAAGGATAAGAAAATAGGTTCTCAAAAAATTTTCTGTATAAAATCTATGTATAAACATTTAATAAGAAAAAGTCGGAAAACCATTTATACACTGAATAGTTTTTATATTATGTGAAATTTTATTTAGATTGAAATTAATGTATAATTAAAACGTGAAATTAAATAATCTTTGGACGTAATATTTTTTTTTTGTAAAATTACAAAATAACCGAAACTATTCAAAACTTTCGTATCTCAATTGTTGTGTGTTTCACTGATAGAATTTTATATGACAAAAGTGTAAATTTGAAATGCGTGTCGAATTGAACACACTCGACACAAAGTGCCAATCATTTTGCTACAATTTCGAAATTTGGCAGGATAATTTTAAATTGAGATAGAAAGCATTTCATTTGTTGTCGCGACAAATGTGCCTGGTTTTACACAATTTGAATTTTTAAAATAAAATGAAATAAAATAATGTGAAATAAATTTTACGTATGACAAAACAATTGGAAATTGCTTAAATTTGTCATAGTCAAATTCGCTGATTTGTTATGGTTTTTGCACTTTGAAATCCTTTTACTTTGCTGTGTTGCCACTGCGACTATAGGGGAAAAGGGTTGATGCTTCACATCGAATGCGAATAGCATTAATAGTGATTGCCTGCTGATGTCACCGTACTTCATATATGCAAAATATTGAGAGATGGCGACAACACACGTTATGTTAAGTCAAATTAAATGTTTCGTCGAGTGGGTACACATCTTGAGTTAAAATTTTATAATCAAACTCGGAGTCATCTGGATTGGCAGTGAACATCACGCGCAGATTCAATTTAAAATTAAGTTGTTGTCTTGGCAATAAGGCGGTGGCGCTCTAGCAAATGCATATGCAGACAAATGTTTTATTGAAACTTAATAATAAAATTGTAAACAATTCAAACTGCACTTACCCCGTTCTTTGCATTCAAAGGAATTTCGTTGTGAGGATTCATGAAATTAAATGGCAAAAAAAATATACAATTTTTATTAAATTCCTATTGCAATGTTTCTTATACGAACCGTTCTAGCATTAACATCCGCCTTGTAGGTGCCGGCAATCAGCTTGACGACGTCTTCATTTCCATGTTTGGCAGCCCAGTGTAGCGCAGTCTACAAAAATACAAAAAATATTCAAATTACTTGTAAGGTTTTATTACATTTACATTAGTCGCAGCTTAAATATTATAGATGAGAATGATTATTGATATCTAGTAAAATGTATGTATGTATGGTCTGACTAATTTGAAAATAAACTGTTTGTTATATTTCGACGATAAAAGTAAAAGTTTGTTTAATTACAGAATCACAGCAATAAAATATTGCTAAAATCATAAAAAGAAAACATTTTATCTACTCTTTGCAACAATATGTATAAATTATGAAATAAAAGTCGTGGTTGAGAACTATTTCTAATTCGAATTTTTTTTGAATATCTACTTAATCATAATTCCCAAAACAAGATTAAATGTTCTAGGGAACATGATTAAATTGTCTGTAGAACACGGTTAACTGCTGTCCTTTCAATAGGTATAAAATAATAATATTTAATAATGTTATTTTTTTCTTGCTAGTTAGATGAATTCCAATAGCTAAGAAAAGACATGGACAAAAATTCATCATCACCACTGATGATGAGTACGTGGCAATACTCGAAACAGTGCTGTATGGTCAGCCAAATTTCAATAAATTAAATACATTTTTGTCCTTGCCTTTTCTTTGCTATTCGAATCTGTCTAATAATATTGAATTTTTTATTTATTAATAAGTATTAATGTTCTTTAACTCTTTGCTATTTAATAATTTAATTAAAATTTATCATATAGAGATAATAAAATTAGAATATCTATAATATACCCTATCCAGATTTATATTGTATATAGAGCTAATGGTCTACAATAACATTATCAGTCTTGTAGAGTAAAGTTTACAGAAAGTTGATGTAATTACTTAGTCTTTAATGATTTTTTGTGGAATGCCTTTCTAATTTTCTTAAGCACAAAATATGACTATAGTATACGTTTACTTTGATAGTATTTTATTGGAGTATTTTTCTAACATTCTTGAACTTAGTCAAAATATGTATTTTATATATTTTTTAGTAGCTAATAAATCATAGTAAGCTAAATAATACTGTTAATATTTTGGATTTATAACTTGTTTATAACGCGTAAGTGGAGACAGAATCCGTCAAGAATGAGTGTGGATGATATGGTGATAAACTGGGAGGATAGCGTTAAATATCTTGGTATCACGTTGGACAAACGATTCACATGGCTTAATCATGTTCAACTGAAAAGAATTAGCTGCGCCAAAATTCTTCATTACCTCCAACCGCTATTTAGAAATGAAAACCTTAATGCTAAGAACAGGAAACTGATATATAACCAAATAATTCGTCCGTCACTTCTATATGATTGTGTAGCGTTTAGCAAAGCTTCAAACACTACTATTCACCAGCTAGAAATTGCACAAAGCCAGGCTCTGAGAAGACTTTTCAAAGTTCCTTGGTACATTAGGACGAATGACATCCTCAGGGATGACATCCTTATACTCAAGATTGATCCCATCAAAAAATACATAGAGGATAGAGCCCAGAAATTATTTGCGAAATCTCACAGACTTACTAACGCCGCGTTATCAAATCTCAGAACGGTTACAGGCTTCACGGGGAGATATGCAGATCTGAGGTCAATTATTGCTTAGTCTAATGAAGTGATAAACAATAATCCAGTCAAGGCACAAAGAGGGGTTTTGATGAAACCTCGCAGTTAATAGAGAGTAAAAGTGCTCAGGTGCACTGACTCAACTAGCCGCAACATAATAATAATAAATATTCGAATTAGTAAATGTGGCTCATTACTGTATCTTACAGGTCCACATAAGTTTGCGTATGAGAGCACAAAAAATTATATTTAATTTGCACCCAAATAATATTTTGAATAAAGTTAAAGTTTTAACACCATATCGTACGGTGTTATAGGCTCAGTTATTTTTTCATTAGATTCTTCTTTATAATTTATGTTCATAATATTGCTTTGTTCTTCATATTGAATTTTAATATCGTCGAAACCGTCGAATTCATTTGCCAAATTAAATCCTTCCTTAAATTTAGCATAGATTGAGAGTGGAATGTCATCTTCGGGATTAAAATCGTGAAGACTTTCATAAATTTTTGAAAATCCTGTTTTATTGTTTGAACTTTATGCCAAGATACTTTGAGGAAATAAACAGTTTCAATAACATTAATAGATTTCAATAGCTCTGATGCAGACCTTGTATTGTCAATTTACTTAACAAGTGTTTTAAAAGTATGCTCCTGTAAAAAGTTTAAAAATTTTGGATTGCCCCTCGTTGTGTTTGGAAGCGAAAAAATAATGTTAATATAAGTTAAGTTTAATTCCTTTGAATGAGATGATGCATTATCTAGAAACAAGAATCTTTCGACTCTGCACTCTCATTTTCTTATACTAATGCAGCCATTCATTTATAACTTCTCGAGTCATCCATGCTTTTTTATTAGATTATAAATCCACTAGCAGTTCTGTGATACCGTTCGAGGATTTGCTAGTTTCAATTTTGAAATAGCATAAAAAATATTTAATAAATATGTAATAGTATAGACTTCTCAATAAAATATCATTGAGAGGACTCTTTATAACATTTGTTTAAAATTATTTATCTAAAATTTCAATTTATAATTAATTGTCACAACAAAAACAAATTGAGAGCTTGCAAGTAAGGATATCTGTAGCACTTTCCGAAACAATTGAAAATTTGTTGCTTTTTGTTATTATTTGTCCAAAATATCGACATTTTTATTTGCAATTGTGAAGCCAGACATTTAAGTCTGAGCAACTAATATTCCTCTCACATTAAACTACTGTAAATGCACTTATAATAAAGGCAAATAGTCCGACTTGAAGTATCTTAAGTGCTACTCAGGAGGCCCAACGTTGCCAATCGAAGCGTCTTTAAAGTGTCTCGATGCGTGTTAGCAGCAAAAATTACAAGAAGTAAAACAAATCGTTGTACAAAATAATGCAACGCTTTGTTACCAAACACCAAAAATTAAAAAAAAAAAAAAGCAAATAAATTTTCTTTGAAACAACAGCAGTAGCAGAGCAGAGGTAGGAACAAAAATTGACTACAAAGGATGCGTATAGGGGGTAATTGTGGTAAAATCTGCTATAGTGCAACTTAATCCAAAGTTTGTGGAATGCTCAGAAGCAAAGCTGTAGTACGTTGTAGTACGTTGAGGTTAGTAACAATAGATCTGGTGCGGTGTCTGTCAGCTTTGCCCTAAATGGTATATGGGCCTACTGTTGTACTTCGCAGCATATTTGCACAAACGTCAATTGAGTTGCAAGTGCCATTTCATTTGGCGGTCCATACAAACATTTCCACTGTGCCAAATACCAACCACCAACTGTACAGCTACCAACAGCAGCAACAGCAACAGCAACAGCAACAGCAACAGCAAATGAACCAGTAACAAAAGTGCGCTTGACGACAACGATAACGATAACGACAAAGAAAGAGACGATGTTTGGCAGGCGGGCAGCGAGATAAATAAATTGTCTTGGATAAGTGAATTCTTGTTTCAATTATTTTCATGTTAACATAATAATTTAGTGAAACACAATCGATCGATGGTTTGTTGCGCAGAGATATTTCTGCGGTCACAACACAGCAGCGTACAGCGCTTTATGGTTTTAAAAGAGATCAACAAGAGCAAAGTGGTAAATAGCGTTAATGTTGATTTTTCTTAAGAATTGTCTCCTATAGTTGCGTAATGCACAAGATATTTAAGCTAAAATTACAATAAAGATGCAAAACTTAAGTTACAACAGTAACAGCAGCAGCAGCAGCAGCAGGAGCAGCTGAATTCCCAGATTCCAATACGGAATGAAATCATTAGCTTTCTTGGCTGTTTGGGTGCCTCATTGATTTCAAGCGAAATTTGTACCTATTGTTACTGTTGTCTGTTTTTACTAAATGCACCGATATCGATCGATTTCTTTATTGTTTGTGACTCGCAATGGCATAGCTTATGGGCATGTCCAACTTTACATTCTGCGATTACTGTAGTGGCAGCACCTGTATTTGCAACGACTCTCTATGGTATCGCTTAATCTGTTGTTGTCGGCATTTAATCTCAGGCTATTGTCCTTCACATCTATGGACTGCGCATATTGCCTACATTTTGATTGTATAGCCGCTGTAGTTGCGCATTAGTTGCACCGACTGATCATCATCATCATCATCACCATCACCATCATCGTCAATGTTCGTCGCTGCTATTGCAGTAATATGTTGCATTCTGTTATTGAACCAAAGACCGCCGAAGAATTTCAAATTTACCAAACGATTTTGCTGCTGATAAAGCACAACAAAACGACGTTGAATATTTTGCGACTGCCATTGATGCACTGCAACAGAATATGCACAATTTATCGCTCAGCAGATTTTTCGTTGATATTGCAAAAATATTTCCAAAGTACATAAATTCAGTAGTCAAATGGTAAAGGGTATCATCAAGAGCCAAACAAAATACTGCAAATTTGTTAGACAAGTTAAGAAATCGTTTTGAGCTACCGAGTACCGTGTAAAATTTAAAGAAGATTTAGTAACTTTGTTATCGGTAATTTAGGCAACAACACTTGTACATTAATTTCATTATAAAATTTGTGTTATAATAAACTTTCATATAAATTTGCTGTAATACTCGTACATCATTTATAGGTAGGTCATGCGAACTTTTAAATTATAAAGGCTAAGATAATTTATGTTAAAGAGGATTGTTGTTCCATGAAAACGAAGCAGCTTTACGGCTATGAATTAATTTTTTATACCACAGATTAAGAGTTTCGATTTTTCATTTAAACGACTTTTTGCATTTCTAAAAAATCTAAGACAATACATTTTTTTAGTAGACGTAGAACTATTCTGTATATGTTTTACAAAAACTTCAAGATCCTAACAAATTCATACCAAATAATAAATGTTTCAACTCTTAAATAAGTTAATCTGCTGATATGTTAAAAACTACAATGTTTCAAATACTGAGAAGTTCCTGTTTTTTTTATGTAAGGTACATCCAGAAATAA